TGACAAATACGAAGGGTTCGAAATCGTAACCATTGGATCGGAAACCGCGCATGCTAATCGCTATAACACACCCGATTTCACAGCAGAGTCAAAGGAACCGTCTGGACGCTGTGCGTTCTGCCATGTTGCTCAAACCAGGAAGATTCCTTATATAGGGCTTACGCCTTCAGTGTTTTGCAAGCAAAAAGCAAACATTCTGTAATCACGTTCATGAAAATGTAAAATGCATTGAACAGGTATTTCTGCGTGCGTGGTTCGAGCACATTTGTGTGCTTGATGAGCGTATATATATATATATATATATGTGTGTGTGTGTGTTCCCGTATATGTTGCCGTCACTTTGTTTGTCAAGCTTGCTCTTTTCTTGGAGTACAGAGCACGGTTAGTAATGTCGTTCAACAAAAATGTCTGTTTACTGACAAAGAAAAAACAAAAACGTTAAAAGTTTGGCACCATCGTGAGCACACATCAGTTCAGTAACTTTTGTGATTACAAAGTATATGATAGTTTCCCTGCCCTCTAGGAGAGACAATAAAAGCAACGTACAATGCTTCATTGGAATGGATGCTGTCCAGCCAACTTCTAGAAGTGCAACCGCACCATCGACAGCTGCTGAGAGCGTGTTCGTAGCTGCAAGATATTGACTTTCCTCGGAAGGCACAACGCTTTCAGTCATCGATTTCCTGAAAAAGTATTTGCAAAAGCATTGCTTATTTCCCACCGAACTCTTCGTGCACTTGTAGTTACGTCCAATTGCGTAAACATTAAAGAAAAACTGCCTTTTCACAGAACTCGTCATAATGCAATGGAACTGTTCAGAACGTGTTATGAAGTTCAAAAAGCCTGTTCTCGAGTATAACAATTCAAGCTCTCACTGTGATACGCTTGTGGGCCCACTTATTTATCATTAAAACTAGTGCTTTATTTTAGAAAAACAAAATTAAAACAAACCTAGCGTAGCTACAAATGAGCGAAATCGCCGACGTAGCCTGTGTTAGCGGTGGCAAGCCCAGATAGACATGCAATGTTAACAGCTAACCTTCCTAAATTAGTTGTTTGCCTTGTAAAAGATTACATTGTGCGGAGTTTGAGTGATTTTTTTATAAGCATGCGGAAATCTCTGATGAACAATGCTTATTTGTGCAGCACTGAAAGCAAAAGATGTTTTGAACAGCGGTACTTGCTACAGCTAATTACTACCACGTTTCGATGGCCCAGTCATCACATTTGTAATTCTATAGCAGACGGGGCAGCATTCGCAACGCTGTGTAGCGCGAACTCACTAACCACGCGGGTTTTGTTAGCGAAGAATGTGAGTGTTAAACAAATGGTGCTCGTTACATACCAACAACACAGAGTTAAATCTCGCGGAGTGATGGCAGCCCTGTTTACACTCACCTCTCTCGGAATATCCCAGTCCGCGCGTAGCATTTCGATGGCGTAGCACTTCATTGCAGTAGCGAATCACGTTTTCTACAGCGCAGAGATCACACAGTGTAGCACAAGAGGCGGCAATCATGTAACGATAACACATCCAGAATTCACCGCTCCACCAACGATGGTTAGCTGGCCGAAAACACCACACCACGCATCGATACAGCTTGAGTGTGAACATTTTTTTTTTTTGAGGAGAGGGGCTTCACATTTGCTTATACTTATGCTATATAAACAATATTACTTTGCTTCTGACGTAGTTGCCGTAGTTCTAACGACCATTCACACTAACTCAAACTGTTAACAGCTCTTTTTTTTCGAAACTATTTGCTTCCGATCATGCTGACCATTCCTTCGAGGCCCCCACTGCGCCGGCAAGTTCTGCGGGAGTAAACGTTGCTCCGCATGGTCCAACAGTTCGTCGCTTTGTTTGTACATGGCACTCTCGTCTTGCATTTAATCCCTCCACGGACTAACTGTTGGTTGCAAGGACGAAATGAAGCACTTACTTCCATTTCGCTCCATTTTCGGTCCTTTGCGGCTTAGAGTGAATAATTATACCGCATTGAGCACTTTAAAACTGTGCTTGCAATAGGCATTCAATGATACTTTAGAACGGCCAATACTACTCGCGCAGTCGTTGATTTCCTTACGGCATAATTTAGGCATGTACTGAGAAACGAAGCAGACTGGCAGTTCAAAAGGTGATGCTCATAAGACCCTATTACGTTATGGCGAACTGTTCATGAAGGTGAAGTTGAAACGTCCTTCAATTTCATGTGTATTTAATATTTTAGTCACTCTCCAACGAACGTCTTGGCAGTTTTAGTAAGTTTTAGCTACCGTTATATGAAGAAAAAATGCTACAAGACCATGCACTTAGCTTTAGACGCGTGGTAGAAAACCCCAGGTTTAACCCCGAGTGACCTAAACCATTTGAGCACTCCACTACGGCTTTTCTCATAATTGTATCATTGTTCCGGGTCGTAATCCTCCCCCCCCCCCCAAAAAAAAAACTCAACTCTGCATTAAAAACTAAAGCCGGCTATAATTATTCCTAAACAGTCGGCAACTGCGCACTAATGACAAAATTAAAAAATAGCTAAGCTAGCGTATTACTCAGAATGATAAAGATGAGATGTTTTTTTCCGGATACGAGAAATGAAAATATCAAGCAGATACATCTGTTTCGAAAGCATGATTAAGAGCATCCGCTGTCTTCGTAATAAACGGAAAGGAGAATGAAAAGGATAAAAACTGATGTTCTTGTGCGCACAGATGAGAATCGGTGCCAAATAGCCCAGAGACATCGGGTTCCTCCATACTCATGCATATGAAGGAACCAATATGACCAATATATCGGAAGACAGATAGCGCGACCCGGCTGAAACACCCGCGAAAACATGTGATGTAGATTTTGTGTCCAATAACAAAAACAAATGAGTGCACACGGGCCAGTTCACATTAATGGACGTTCGTCCTCTCAGAGCCGGCAAAGAATCGTTGAGCAGCGGCGTTCTTCGAGCTGCTTGTCTCGGTTGCCGTCACTTGGCGTAGTAGGACGAGACTTCATCAGTCTGCTTCAGCGCAGTTCTAAAGTGTAAAATGTATCGACGTAGAGCACCACGCTGACAAGCTCGAAGAAGAGAAGTATTGGCCACCCACTAAGAGAATTCGAAAGAGGCGTCAGGCAGCATCGTCCATTTGAGAAGGTCGGATATCGTGGATAACATTCAAGCAATGCAACGGTGTCGTTATTGTAGGTGTGCTTGACCGTCGTTGACTTGCCCTGCGCCATAATACTTCGTTTTCTATACTAATCGCTGCCAAAGTGTCTTTTGACCTGTAATGTCACCTCTGCGTATGCAGCTGCTCTTCGGCTTTACGTAGAGACTATTTAGACGTATTTATTTCTGTTTTTTTGTATTATCTGACTCTGTAATATTTAAAACTCACAAAAATTTCAATCTGTTTGTGTCTATGTTCTATATATTGGTTTAAAATAGAGTAAAGAGAATCACATTCGTTTGCCTTTCTTTTCCTCTTATTTATCTCTGCCTCTATTTTCTTCCAAACGTGTCATCACTGATGCCGATTCCTTAACGGATTTCAGGCACCAGCTTTTTGTTGTTGTTGCAAGTGATGTGAGTTTGCCGTTACCACGACTCCTGGCATACGAGGACTAGACCAAGATGCGCACGTCGTGGGTGCTGTTCTTCGCGCTCGTCTTCACGCTTTGCAAGTGCTGGAAATACGTGCCCTTAGCGTCGACCGTGGCGGAGTGGATCGGATTCATCGTGGTTGTCAGCTCGCTCTCCTACTGGTTGGCCAGGTACATCTGGACCGTAGCCTTCGTGAGTCTAGTGTCTGGTGAAGGAAAGGCGGTTCTGGTGACAGGTAAGTGTTCGTTTTATAAAAGATATGGTCCACTTATGAGTCGAATGTATCAAATATTTTGCACTAATAGGTATATATGCCATGGAAATGCATTGTGTTGCTAAATATGGGGTCTTTCGGAGCCCACAAAATCAACACATGCTCTTCAGTGCACACTGTTAAAAAACTGTCTATTTGACGTTCACTCAGATCTTCGATTTGCGATCCTTTTCTCCCATTGCTTGTAACTTCGAGTTTGAAACTTTAAGCATGCTGGCACAGTTAGTGACTGACATCCACAGTGTGACCTTCTAAACACAGTGACTGCTTCTGTACAAAAACGTTTTGCGCTCAAACTTTTTCTAGCAAAAAATATCAAGCAACCATGAGTTCACGACGAATCACTCATAAATACTAAATCCTGCTTACAAATAACAAATGGTACTTGGAAGATCAATGCTTTGTTAGTTTGTTATAAGGCTGTTATAGCCCTATATTCGTAAGGAGATCAGTGTAAACAAAAAAAAACATGCATAATAAGTGCTCTTTGCAGTCGTCACCCTTTTCGCGAAATAAAACTATGATCATTGGCCATGCTATATGCCCATGCCAACTCTGCGATTAGTATCTGCCTTTAACAAAAATCGCTGCTACAACGACAGTTATAGTACGAGACCAGAAAGACACGCTGTAACTATCACGCTATGACTCTCGTGCTATAACTATCGTCATGTAATACCAACTAGCCCAAATTGCCATGCTGCTACAACGTTTCGTTTAAGGAGGACACACGTCTAGCAAAATGTCTTTCAGAACTGAAAAAGCTGGTGCTCGAGCAGCTGTCTACTATAGAAGGCATGTTCAAGGTCACGGAAATACGTATCATTTTCAGCTAGCCAATCTTTCGATTGAAAATAAGCCAAATGCCAAAGAAGCGGACAGTTTCTTACAAGCGTGCGCTTTTTAAATACCAAGGTGCGGTTTCCAAGTGGAAATTCACGTCCAGTTATATGTCTAACGTAGGACAGATGGCGTGAATAATAAAGTCGAGCTGTTATATACTCCACTTTAAATGGCTAAGCAATCTAAGGAGGGCGTTTGTTGAATGAAAGTTTTAGAGTAAACCAAACAAACGATACATCAAAAGAACAAGAACCCAAGATCTTAAAGCATTATGCGTCAAGCACACCATGAGTCTATGCGACGCCATGGTTGTTATTTCAGGTATAGGATGAAACGAACATGCATGAGGTCTTCTACTTGTGCTCATGCAACCAGCTTTTGCTCACCATAGATTGTCGGCCACAAAATCCACAGCAACCATGGCAACTGCACTGGCAGTTGTTACCCGGGGGTCAAGGTTACATATAGACTATCAAAACAGGCGCGAATGGAATAAAAACAAAACAGTCTGGTCAGTAAAGATGTAGGTGTTTGTGTGAGCGCTTGTAATATGCAAATACGCGTGTCGGCGTAATATCCACCTCAACAAACTAGTTCTAGGAATGATTTGATAAAAACGTACACGTGCTAATTGATGGCCTCAATATGTGGGCAGGAACTTTAGTCATTGGCATTTCGGTCGGGCTACAATGGAAAGAGGCTGTGATTATAAACGACACAAGTAAATAGAAGTTTACCTTTCGACGTTACCATTCTATATCCGAGTTTTTTTCTATTTCCACTGCACTTCCTGACTACCAGAGTTAAATTGACTTGGGTAATATATGTTTGGAAAGAAAAAAAACGTTGAAGTTCTGGTCAAGTTAAAGAGTGGAGCTGCCTCGACCTCTTTGGACAAAACGTATCGCTGAGTTACTTTCTTTCCTCCTTCGACGACTTCTCAGTCCACTATCCTCTTGATTCTAGAACGTCTTTTCTCTCAACACTCCACCTCGGCTAGAAAATGTAGTGGACAGCAGCGGCCTTACAGGCCAAAAAGGTAACTACGTATGAGGGATAACTGTCATCATTGCCGAATAACTGTGACGTCATTGTTAGCCGAGCCGTGATTAACTCAGTCGAGTGAAAGACGAATTTAATGTCCAGTCTTCATTTAAAAGTACAGGGGTCAAAAGCATTTGCGCTTTCGCCTTATCCATGCTTGCTACATTCATGTTCCATCATATTACTGCAGGGTGCGACAGCGGCTTTGGATATTATCTGGTCAAAAGCCTTTCCCGCATAGGTTTCTTTGTGTTTGCCGGCTGCCTGGACGCCAATAGCGATGGAGCCAACGACCTGAGGACGCTCGACAACGTCAAAGTTCTGCAGATGGATATCAGCAGCGAAGAGCAAGTCAACGACGCCGTAGCGACCATCAAAGTAGGGTTGGGCTCCAAAGGTGAAGGTTGACCATTATAATTATCAGCGTTATAGGATGACTTAGCGGCAGTGTGGTGTAATTCCAATATAAAAACAACGTAACACTGCAACATTTTTAGCGGTGACGTTATCCTTAATGAAATGAATTCAATTAAACCAAGACCAAATTTCTTCGAGTTCACTTAATTTACATAGCGTCATACCTGCGACTACGACTGACCAAACATCTGCATTTCTGCCAGGTTGGCACCTGCGAAACAGCCATCAATCAATGGAGCCGTGAACAGTCACCCACTAAATCGGTGTTTTGAGCGAGAATTCAAGAAGGGGGACTATTGTGACTGTATATTTATGAAAAATAGACCGTAAAAGAATATTTCAATGCAAAATGAGCCCTAGAAGTGCCCGGATGTACACCTCTCCCACCGCCAGTGACTGCCATTTCGCCATGGCTTGTGTGACGTCATGCGGTTCATGAAGTGAAGTCTATTACCGCTTTCAGCCACTGCCAACAGCACACTTTTTATGCCGGACTCAAGCAATCTTTAAAATCTCTAAAATCATAATGATGATGATGATGTGTAGGTTTCAATGGCGCAAGAGCCAGTTTGGCCAAAGAGCGCCATAGAAAAGATGGAATAGTGGCAATGATTTGTGATGTAACGATGGCATGTAAATATATCAACTATGATAGTCCTACGAATCTGTATAAGGGCCTAAGATCGCTCGCCTTGAAACGGATAAAACAAATATATTAAAATCATGTGAATGAGGCGAAATAATTAACTAAAGACTAATGGCAATACTCAGAGTAAAAAGAAAAAAGGAAACCTTTGGGCTGACATGGTATTTAGCAATATATATATAGTCATGCATGGTGGTTGAGTGGCCGTAGCGTTGCGTATGGTCCAGTAGATCCTCCGTGAGCGGTCACAACGTGGTTTAATTCGACGTTTCGGCCTAGAGTCTGGCCTTTATTCAGATTTTTTAATCCTGATGAAGGCCAGACTCTAGGCCGAAACGTCGAAATAAACCACGTTGTGACCGCTCACGGAGGATCTGCTGGACTAATATATATATATATATATATATATATATATATATATATATATATATATATATATATATATATATATATATATATATATATATATATATATACATGTATATATTTTTATTTGTTGGCTTGCTCCTTTGCTCCTTTCTCTTCTTCTCTTCCTTTTTTATTGCACTGCGCAAGGCTTCCCTGCTCCACGTAATTCATGAATAGGACCTTCAACTGCGTGCTTCGCTGCTCAATACTTTACTAGATACATCGAATGACGACTGTCATGCGTTCATATCCAGGCAACAACAAAATATGGCATTAGGAAACGATAACTTGTTTCTATAACCTCGCCATATTATCAAACTGTCGTATTACAACAGACTCATCACCAATAAGTTCACAGTAATTTGAAGGACACTGTGCAAATGCAAAAGTGTGTGCAGTGAACACCTGACCCAATTCACCTGGCTATGCCATATCTCTCTTTTTTTTGAGTGGAGTATAGCTTATCATATTGGATGAATCCACATTGGTGATTTTGGGACGTTAAACCCCACATGTCATGTATATATATATATATATATGTATATATCATTCGTTTTAGACCGACCATTACCTCTGTCTCAAATCGCATCTGATAGCCTGCATCGATCCCTGATCAGATATACTCCTTTTTCGATTTTTGGCTTTTCTTTCTATATAAATTTTTCAGTCCAAAATTACTTTGTGTTTGAAAAACCATAAGACTTTTACTTACGATCCTGCCGCCCGGTTCTTGGCCGATCCCCCTTTGTGGGTGGGCGCCAGAGTAACAAGGATCATCATCATCATCATCATCATCATCATCATCATCATCATCATCAACATCATCAAAGAGAAACAGCACAGCCAATTTTGCTGAAAGTGTGAGATTGACTGCTTAGTTATTTTTTTTCTCTGATAGCATGCAACATTGGGACCCTAACGACATCTCATGACGTGCTGACCTTTTTAGAGTTCACTGACCCAACTACCAGGAAAGAGCAACTTCATAGCCATAAACTACTCATAAAGTTACGGCTAACAATGAAACAACCACTAGCTTTATTCTCTTTTATTCTACATGCCGTTATGAGGATCGATATGTTCGAGCTGCGTACTAGGGGCACGTTTATTGTTCAAGTAACCCAGCATTCTATGACTCCTTTTTTACCTGCACGAGTTTTCAGCGCAAGAATTTCCCTAGTTTGCTGAGAACTCTTTCAGTGGTTTTTCACTCTCACCACTCTTCTATAATTTCGCTTCTCCGATCAAACCTGAGCAGGGGTGTAGGCAAACATTTATTTTTAGGGGGGGGGGGGGGGGGGCATTTTTTTACCTGAAGTGAGGGTCGGGCAAAGAGATGTGGTCAAGTGTCATGGTGAGCTATGTATGCTACGACAAAAAAAACTGGGGAGGGGAGGGGGGACCCAGAACCAGTGGGTCACATCTGGCCACGCCACTTGACCTAAGGTGAGCCTACCTCCACACAAGATATGAACTGAAACTATTTATATGGTATGACTATTTGTGCGCTTCACCCCTGCAAACTGCTCCTGAAGTTGTCGTTCCGTGACTTTGTCCTAACCTGATATTTACGACTGTTTCTCCTCATATGTGTAGTGCTCTGGGCGGTCGTCTGCAACGCGGGTATGCGAAACGAAGGACTACTCGAATGGATTCCCATGGATGCCCTGAAGAGAGTAATCGACGTCAACATCATCGGCAACTGCCGAGTCAGTAAAGCGTTCTTGCCGGTACTCAGAAAAGCAAGAGGACGCCTTGTGGTCGTCACAAGCTCTTTCGGTAATGCACAGGTGTGTGTGTGTGCGTGTGCGTGCGTGTGCGTGTGTGTGCGTGTGCGTGCGTGTGCGTGTGCGTGCGCGCGTGTGTGTGTATGTTTGTGTGTGTGTCAGGGCTCAAATGTGTAGAAAGCAACGTGCAATACTTGTACAACACCACGTGTACGGCAGAAATGCCTATTAAGCACAGCGCAACAAAACAGTCTTCATCAGATAATAGGCGGATAATATTATTAGCATAGACTTTCTGAGACTCAGACACACGGGTCGATATGAGCCTGCACGATAAGTCCGGGAAAGACACCTGATGAATGAGTTTGCTTGCCTATGAGTCGGTGTGATGTTAAGACCATGTTTTTTCTTCAGGTTACGTAACCATGCCGATGGCAACTCCATACTCGATGACAAAGCACGCTCTTGTGTCCATGGTCGATGGACTTCGCCGGGAGTGCTATGGCAAGGGAGTCGACATCATCTCGGTTATGCCTCAAGCTTACAAGTACGTTACTTATACGCACACGCCATTGACCACACAGGCCCACTGGCGGCCGAACCGCAGAGAGAACACGAGGCTGAATTCCCAATGCTTTACCGTAAAATAAATTCTCTAAAATTGTGAAGCTTTGTTTTTAGAATGGAATGGCAAGGAATTTTCGCTAATATGTATTCTCATTCTGGACATATGGTATGCTAAATGGAAATAACACAGTGTCGAACAACGCTCCCATTATTAGTAACGAGCTGCTCTCAAATTTAGCGCTCCCGCATTCTATACGCTTGAGGGGTCAAGTGCCCATTCGTTATTGGCGTCTAGCAACTTGGCATGCGTTTATAATACCTAGAAAATGAAATTAAAAAAATAAAATAATAATATTTGGTGCTACAGCAAGCGTTTAATTGTTATAATCCTTATAGAAGGTAATCTGCTTTCCAGGAGCATCACTAACTTAACTTCCGTAGGCTAAGTTATTTCATGTAAGTAACCTGCATTTCAAGTAAGCTGTATTTCATTTTCTTTTTCCCAATACTTTAAGTTTGCATCACGAAGTTCAAATCAACTTTCATCTTTATGTGTATTCAAGATGAGATGAGCACGAGTAAGGCCGACCCATTTATGTTTGATGAGTTCACCGAATTTCAAAGCTCAGACTTGATTTATACTTGGGGTCTAACGTCCGAAAACCACGATATGATTATGAGATGCCGTAGTGGAGGGCTCTAGAAATTTCGACCGCCCGAGGCTCTGTAACGTGCACTCAAATCTGAGCACACGTGCCTACAGCAATTCCTACTCCATCGGAAATGCAGCCGCTTCAGCCAGGATTTGATCCCTCGACTAGCGGATGAGCAGCCGAGTACCTTAGCCAATATACCACCGCGGCGGGACTTGCAAATCTAGGAAACATCCAAGCAAAAGTGTGTGAGGTTTTCGTGCCACTGCATGTGTTACCATATGCACCCTGAAAAAGCTACAACTTCGTAAAACCGCCAGCTGCTTTTATTTGATTTTATCGTAGTCGGCGTCTTGTTTTCATTGTCTTCAACAACTAGTCTGTATGAACGCTCCAAAGATTTTTCATGCACCTCTAGAACAAAACAACAGGGCGCAATGGCTTTGTATGCTTTTAGGCACTACTATACAGGGTGCTTTAAAAGGCTATATTTCTTCATTGCCTCCAACACTGCAGTGTGCGGGAGTGCTTCGAGCTAGTGCGGGCCTTTCGTGAAAACACCTGTCTGCGTTCATTTGACCTCGTCAAGCTCGCCGCACTGCATTAAGCCCCGTAATGTACCTCTACATGACATCAGCCCAATCCAGCTGCGTGCACACAAGCAGCAACGTATACTCTGTTCGCAGTTGAACTCGAAAAAAAACGAATGACAGAAACGGAAATATGCAGGGTCGACACACGTGCCTCGTCTATTGGCGATTGGACCCCCCCCCCCGCACAGTACGCCGGTGTCCTTTATGCAACAGCCACAACTCAGCTGCTTTTCGCCGCGTAGGTCATGCCTGGTCGGGTCTCCGTGCACCTGCTGCTCTTCGCCAACGCCCGAGAACTCGCTGGCACTGCAGAAGTTTCGCTAATCACACCTGCTGTGCTTCGAGACATAGACGAACTGAAGCAGATTATTTTTGCAGTGCATCCGAAGCTCACAGCATTGGAGCACAGTGCAGTGATCGCTGTGAATGAGTCATACGTTGAGCCTGGCGTCGCGATAACACTCAGACAAGGAGACGAGGTCGCCTTCATACCAGCAATCAGTGGTGGTTAGACTTAAGTCCTCGGTATCTGACCAGCAAACGGAAGCACTTTACTGATCCGGTGAAGTGACCATCGAGAACAACTTTTACCATATGTTTGGTGGAAGCAATCACTAAATCAAGGAAATCATTGTGCCTTTACCCCATGAGCTAGGTTTTCAATGAAGCAACAGTCTCGGTCCAAATCAGAACTGACAAAGAGGAAGACCCTGAGGTGAAACAACGCTACATACCAGCTTTCGGCCGTGCCGCATCATTCGTGTGACTTGGAGGATTATCTACGTTGATCAGAGTGACATGAATCACGTAGAGCTATCAAATAATGCACTGGATGTAGGTGCTGTTCTGGCTCAAGTGGGATCGCCAGACTGCGGCGCTATATCCATCTTTTTGGGAACAACGCGCAATCACTGCGATGGAAAGACTGTGGACAGCCTGAGTTACGAAGCGTACGTTCCCATGGCGAAGCGAGAGATGCTGCTCATCTGCGAGGTCATTCGCGAACGCTGGGACGTGAAGAACATCGCCATCATTCACCGGCTCGGAGACGTACCTCTGGGCGAATCGAGCGTGCTCATAGCCGTCTCCTCCGAGCACCGTCAGGAGGCGATGAACGCGTCGAAGTACGCGATTGACGAGCTAAAGCGACGTGTGCCGATTTGGAAGAAGGAGCACTACGCTAGCGGTGACAACCAGTGGAAAGCGAACAAGGAGTGCTTCTGGACCGAAAGTCATTGAACTCTGAACGGCTGTTTTCGTGCGTGTGCGGTGGCTTTCATGGAATCGCTTTTGTTGTACCATAGCGTGTTCCACAAAGCACCACCGGCGTTTAAAAAAAAATACTAACCTTCTACTACGGTTTCTGTTTTGTAAAAATAGTTTAAAATAACTGACTATATGCTAGCCTTTATCGGTTTCTGTTCGTATTCATTCCAGCAATAATCCGTGACATATTCCAGTTATACTGTAGGACTCTTGTTTAGGTATACGTGTTCTTCATTAGGTGCCCTTCTGTAACAGCCTCAGAATTATGGCATGCTCTTAAAACCTCTTGCTCACCGACTTCCTATCTAAACTGAATTTTCTCGTTTCTAGAAAGTTACTTTTATAGTGACATCCCATATATCCGATCCTTCGTACAATTATTATACTGAAGAACCTTGAACTCCTAGTTATTGTATTGATATGTGATGTCCTGATCTTACTGAGTCTTCTGGGTATTGTTTATACTAGTCATTGCGGTATTATGTTTACTGAATGTCACCTTTGTGAGGATCTATTGGTATCATGTTTTTTTGTTTAGAATGGAGAGATGAGACGAGCTCAGCAATCTTGTTGAGTGTTCGCGAGCTTATGGGTTTTTGGAAAGAGTGCGTGGTTAAGGGAAACGCACTCGATTTCGAACTGAGGTGTCTGCGCGTGTGATGAATGTTACCGTGGGCGCAATTGCTTCCAGATTTATCGCTTGCGTTATCAATGGTATACGCCTCTTTATTTTGAATAGTGAGTGCACAAGGTGCTGCTGCCAAAATCACGTGTAAAGGTTTGTCGTTTAGAGTACAGTCAAATATGTATTGCAGGTTATTCATGTGTTTCCTCGCCACGTGCTGGTCTTGCCACCGGAACACAAGTTCCATATGTACCAAGACATACGCCCTTTTCTGTAATTAAACTCTTTTGCCTCACAGTAACAGTTTTACATTTGGCGCCATTGCTCACTATTCGCATTATCTGCAGTTGTATTGTACAAGCCAGACTACATGGTAAAAATTCGCGGTCTATAGCAACACGACTGCAACTATTATTTGACTATTTTCGTCCCAAATCTAGTGTGCAATCATCAAAGACGGCGTTTTGAAAAAGCTCCGGAAATTTCGACCATCTTGTGTCAACGTGCATTGCCACTGCACGGTAAACGGGTCTCTACACGGCTATCAGTAAAATGACCATTAGCACATGTAAGAGCCTGAATCCTTGTATGCCTCATAGAACTCGCAAAACAGCCGTCACCGAAGTCAAAACGAATGACGAAAAAAAAAAAAACATGTCAAGACGGGTCACCATAAGCCGTGAATATGACCCCACATGTCGGAATTTTTCGTCATGTCCCTATGAAGTCACTATGTTACGCCATCAGATGACGTCATAACTTAGTCATCAGTTGGCTGATCACGGAGCCACAGAAAGGTCGCAGTATGTCCAATCCCGGAGACCGGGCAAAATACTGTTAGGTGCACAAAGCCTTCGGAGGGGGTGATTGATTATTTTTATGTGGGGTTTAACGTCCCAAAAACACCATATGATTGTGAGAGACGCCGTAGTGGAAGGCTCCGAAAATTTCGACCACCTGGGGTTCTTTAACGTGCACCCAAATCTGAGCACACGGGCCTACAACATTTCCGCTTCCATCGGAAATGCAGCCGCCGCAGCCGGGAATTGAACCCGCGACCTGCGGGTCGGCAGCCGAGTACCTTAGCCACTAGACCACCGCGGCGGGGCTCGGAGGGGGTGAAGAAGTTAAAAAAAATGTTGAGACAAACGTATAAAAGATAGTTTTTGCATTCTTGTAGCAATGGGCAAGTGCATAAGCAACCTTGCGAGGGTTTTTCTTTTGCTTCTGGAAACTATAGCAAGCCTCTTGGCTGTAGTATGCACAAGTGTGATGACGGCGATTATAGACTCATGGGGTTGTGTTGACCGTGAGATATGAGGCTTCGTGTGTGCCTGCTCTCCTCTTTCTCTCTCTGTTCCTCCATCTTTGAAACTCACCGACCCCTGTTCCGGTGAAGGGTAGCGTAACAGTCCTCCTAGCCCCGCCACGGTGGTCTAGTGGCTAAGGTACTCGGCTGCTGACCCGCAGGTCGCGGGATCAAATCCCGGCTGTGGCGGCTGCATTTCCGATGGAGGCGGAAATGTTGTAGGCCCGTGTACTCAGATTTGGGTGCACGTTAAAGAACCGCAGGTGGTCAAAATTTCCGGAGCCCTCCACTACGGCGTCTCTCATAATCAAATAGTGGTTTTGGGACGTTAAACCCCACAAATAAATCAATCAAATGACAGTCTTCCTAGACTGGATTAACATTCCTGCCTTTCCTTTATCTTCTGTTCATTCCGCGACGTGGCTTCATCACCTAATTTTGATGCAGCGGTTAATATGCAAGCTCTCGAGCCAACATTTTTCGGGAGGATTCTAGAAAACAAAAACGAACACAAAGTCGACTGATTTCCGGGCTTTAATCGTTACCAAGCGCCATCTGCGAGGGATAATATGCGCTACATATAGCTCTAGCTTAGCTCAGGTGCACGGAAATCGAACTGCATGACACAAACTTACTGAAAACACAACGAGGGCAAACGTTCACGCTGTTCCCAAAACAGTGAGTATTTTCTTCTACTAAGCCGTGGCAGCGACTCCATGGCTTGCGTTCCGTTGCCAGTTATTTATCAACGCTGTCTATTCATTGCACAGAACTTCCGAAAAACTGAAATGCAAAAAAAATGTGCACAAGCATGTGAGCGATGGAGAAAAATTCAATACAGCACAAAACATCCTTCGTTTTTCGCGACTCGAAACGAATAACGAATTCATGGTGAATAACTCAGCGTGTTGGCATTCCGTCGTACCAAACATAAGGTGCTAAGAAGACGGCAGACGAAAAGGGAGACAAACACACGCACACAGGTTCCCACTTCCAAGAACACTTCATTCCAAGAAAAAACAGTTGCTCTTCATGCGGACTTCAGTGTGGTCACGCTTCATTGCTACGTAGTCGCATTCAGATATCGCAACTTTTTCTCGGAGAAAAATACCGAGGTCAAACTCGTGCAATGATCACCGGCTTCAATAACATTACTTTTCCTCAACTATTGCAACACTATCTGCATAAATGGCACCTGTTTTTTTTTCTCGGAATAAACATTGTTAAAAGTGGCGCCCTGTGCCAGTGTGCCTTCTCTTTCGTCTTTTTTTTTTTCGCCTGTTTAAATTTATAGAATTACGAAAGGTGATCACGCTTCTGCTATTTGTCACGTGGCATTTTTTTAGAGACGGGGTTCGATAAATTGCTACTATAAACAGAACGTTGCACATTTCTTGTATTTGCGCAATAGAAAACTTCTTGTTCAAAATTGTTCCACAAGCTTTAGTGTTTCTGGCAGTCACAGTTATCACGCCTTAGATCACTCTACAACACAATCTTCTTGAGAACAGTGCTATCTAAATTACTTGGACTCCCCCCCCCCCCCCCCCCACGCACCTCCTTCTTTCTTAATATTTGGTCCTTTCACCTACTTTGCAGGACGAACATCACAGCTCCTTCGTGTTCGCAACGACTCACGACGGAAGACCTGAGGCGAAACTGCCCAGAGGTCGCCGACGACTTCACGCAGGAGGAAATCGACGGCGGGATACGTTCGTCCAAGGACTATTTCGACGCCCTCAACAGGGATAACCTCCAGGAGGTCGCAGACGCGATGGTATTGGCAGTGCGGGAAACGTACCCGAGGACGTGGTACACAACGCCGCTGAGTCTCAGCACAGTTGCGCTGTTTCCCTGTACGTATCTGCCAGACGAGGTGACGGATGCCATCATGGCCTTTGCCAGGGCTAGGATGTCTTCCTTCTCAGACATTCTAAACAAGAACAAGAAACATTAGTGCGATTTGCCGGTTTATTTCCGGAAAGTCATTTACATAAACACGTGGCTGTTTATATCATACAAGAAAAAAAAAAACTGCGAGATGTTCGTACTGAGTTGCGAAATGCTTGGCACGGTGAATTGGCTATAGATCGTCAAGCTTTTTGGCTCTCGCCAGTTACAATATTTTAATGTTTGTTTTTCCCCTCTCACTGTTCAGTTCTTTTTTTTTCTTTGATTCTGTCTGGCTCTTCTTTGTTTTTCTTCCTTTTTTTTAGAGTCCCTGTCACCTTCTTCATTTTTACTGAAGCAGTGACGAATCGTAAGATTTCCCCAATTTGTCTGGCCTATGCTCATTCATGCTGATATTTTTTTTGGGGTCATCCGTTTTACTTCAAACTTTGAATCAGCGACCACAGCGTGGTTAAAATTGAAAACTCGGTGACACAAAGTTCTCCGTGCGGTGTCTAACTTCCTTCGAAGGCAAGAAATACTGGTATAGACAAGATAATTATCTTTGTCGCCCACAACTTGCTTTAAAACACAGCCGACCACTGAAAAAATACTTTGATATTGACCTTATTAGGCAGTTTACTGTCACGGCCGCCAGGGACATGCCAAGCCCAAGCCGTTCAATGGCCGTGCCGAGAAATGCATTGATATTCGCTCAACATAGATAACCTCCGAGATAAAAACCAATGTGTAAGGCATGCTCTCATGATGCACCGATTCCGCACACACTGATTGAAAAGCAAATATCTGCTGTGCTAGTCAGTTTCACGTGAGCATCGCAATGCACACTTCCATATCTCGTGTTGCTGCGCTCCGCCTAAGTGACATTCTTGAAGCAAAAGGACACTCAGGTTAAGAGACACATAAATATACCTGTATTACTGGTGCAATAAAAGCAGAAGTATCGCACGAAGCCACTACTGTACGCTTCAAGTGTGTATTACTAACATTTTATCCCTCTTCGTGTCTAACAGGAAACGAAATGCGTCAAAATAACCATTGTGACACTTCCCTATAGCGAACCGAAAGATGGAGCAAGTTGGCATAAGCTCATCAATGCGAAGCGCGGCACTCAACAAAAAGATGAATAAAAAAAGCCCGAAGCATGTTGAATCTCCAATTGTACTTGTCTTATCTATTTCCACGCAATTCACAAGTGCTTCGTCGTTGAACGATACACATACATCAACAGCTGTCGGACGCCAACTGCATAACTTCTGAAATGCAATGCAAAATTACCCGCAATATACACATTTGTCCTTTTCAACCATTTGTGTGGACGTTACATCAATAAGTGCAGTCTCAACTTAAAAGCCTCTCTATCCCGGTAGCCAATTGTGTGAGATATATATTATGCACAACTTGACTCCTTCAATTTAGTGGAAACACATCCCAGCGTAATGTCCTCATAAAGCACTGTATAAGGAACTTGCCGAGAGAAGCATTCATTTCTTCTGAATACAGATGACGCCCAAGGCATAAACAAGTGTATAATATGTGTTCTCACGACCTACTATTTCGATTGGAGTAATATATACGCTCTCAATATTCATAATATCATGAAAGATGTTCACGAACGTTCTAACTGCTTCATCACCTCTTAACATCAGTTAACAATCAGTTAAACAATCAGTTAAAAGAGTTAATCAGGACATTGTGCCTACAAGAGAAACAGAAAGATATTCAACGAAAACAGAAGATTCTGCCGGCTTATCTAAAAAACCTACACGCTTTTCTTGATAGGGGAAAGAGATTAAAGACGTAAAGCACTAACAAAAGGAGGGCAGGAAGAGAAATAAAAAATACAAAAAAGAGAAAGTATTATGATTGGGATATCCGCTTGCCTCAACGTGATTGTGATGATGTAAGCTACTTTACAGTTTATCCATTATCTCTTCTAGGAATCTGAACAAACATTTTAATATGAGACATTGCTAAGTAGGAGGAGCTGACTGAACTATTTTCTTGAGACTTTGACTGAACCTAAAGCACGACAGTGTTCACACGCGATTTTAGCATGAAACGACCTTAACCACATGACCTCTAACCAATAATAAAACGACCTCTAACCATACGAACAATATGCTGGGTTTCTGTACTGGTTACCGACTAACGAAGGACATCGAGCGAGAGGTATGAGTATGCGAAAATCTTTTCGCAGGCGCATCTTATGGCTTCATGGATTGTACCAGCCAAATCTTTTTTTATACAATAACTATGATCGTTAGGTGAAAAGATATGCCATCAGCGCGTACTATCGATGGACTGGGAGACGATTAGGCTTTGAGTGGCAGACTAATCATGATATCACAGCCAGCGATTTAGAGCGCTTCTTAGAGTACTTCATGACGGAATGAATATATTTTGGTTCTACGCGTGTAAATGAACAATTCATGAATATTATTATATGCGCCTATTTGTGTAATGTTTGTAAGGGATGGCTTATCTGAGCAAGTACTTTATCAACAAAGAACGGCCAACAAACGCACTACAAACAGGGGTAGATTATAAATTATACGTCTGTAATCACTTATACAGCGACAATATTAATGGGAAAAGAAAAAAATACAGTGCGTAGCGTAGTAAAGATATGTGCACCGTACAATAAAATGGTGTGCATAAAATAAATTAAAAACGAAAATCACCCTTCGCAGAAATAGAGTAATATAAGCATCTAAAACATTGAAGCTAAACGCCAAGAATGTGCATGTATGACTTGTGGTACCACGCTCGGGCAACTACGCCAAATAACTAGGTTGGGCTATAAACTATAACGACAATACTTTAATAACCTCAATCCAAACCAAATGCGAGATAGTACACAAGAATGGTCAGGCGTTCAGTTCACAAAATGGTGTTGCAAAATTACGCGATGCAAAAATTAAGAAAAGCTGGTGAAGACGGAAAATTTACGCTGCGGGATCACGTATGCGTTGTTGTAGACTGAAATGACCTTGCCGAGTCGGCCAAAACAACGCACGTGTGCGTGCAGCCTCACAAAATGATACCGCGCTGGGAGTCCGGGACGTGAAGGTGTAGCAACATGACGGGTGCCAATTATCCGTCCCCTTTTTTTTCCATCCTCGCCACATACTGCACCTTCTCCGTTCTCTCCCTGTCTTTCACCCTCCACCACTGAACTCTCACTCGATCAGCCGCAGTCCATTAGCATGTCGTGTCTTTGAAGGCAGCTGACTTGGGCGTACGGGTGAGGAGTAGCCAAGAATCGAGCCGGTTACAAGTTCCAGCAAGGCACACGTGCGCACGCGCGCAAATGTGTATTGGCTCGCTACATTCGCCCAAGGACCTCGCTCTCTGCCTGACCTCAACGAGTATTATCCTTCCTGTGCTCATTTTATTCATTATGTAGTCACTTCGTGGGTGTTTTTTTCACTTTCTATACGATGGTATTCGTCGGTTGGGACCGGTCTTGAGCAAGCTTGTCTAGCCATCTGCTCATCGCCATCTTCCATCTTATATTTATTGGCGTACCGTTTCCTGTTAACCCTTCCAGGAGTTACAAGCTCGGCAATCGATCGACACTTTCGTTAACTTTAGTCCCGGTTTTGTTGGCTTCCTCCACTGGCTGATGTACTACTGCCCCCCGGGAAGTGTAAAACCACAAGTGACTCACGTGATCTGGTCGTCTCACTCGCCCTTCTACGGCGCTTTCACTTGTGTACAGGGCAAACTACTCAATCTCTTCGCGTTGGAAAGGCTGCTGACGTTGATAGCTTCGTCCGACCCATGCTAGCTTCGAGCAGCCACCCCATTTGAGCTGCAGCTGCTGTGTCACATATTGCTGGTGGATCATCTCCACGACGTGGATGCCTTCATTCCGATTGTTGTCACAATGTGCGTCCGCGTGGTTGGAAAGGACCGCCATGAGTAGTGTTCGTTGACTTGTGGCAGTGGGTGACATCAAAAGTGCTTGTGCGTGACGTCATTCAGTCAGAATCGACGACACTGCTAGACTATCGGCACGGCGAAATGTCCTTGTTCTGCCTGCAGCGAGTGAAGATAGCGACCATGTTCTCAATAAGCGCACAATGGGTACTTTTTTCGGTCTTTTTATTTCTGCTGTGGAACTTTTGGGACTACCTTACTCCGCTGCACCTGATATCGGTGACATTAGGCTCGACGTGGGTAGCGTTAAAGTTGTCCTACACCCTGTCTCGATTCGTCTGGAGGCACACCAGTGTGGCGGAAGTGGAAGGAGATGGAAAAGCGGTGCTCATCACTGGTAAGTGTAATAGTGGAAATAGATACAGCAGCCGTTGGTTCGCATATGACTTAGCATGGTGGTTTATTAGCTTATTGATTTGTGAGGTTTAACGTCCCAAAACCACCATATGATTATGAGAGAAGCCGTAGTGGAGGGCTCCGGAAATTTGGACCACCTGGGGTTCTTTAACGTGCGCCCAAATCTGAGCACATGGGCCTACAACATTTCCGCCTCCATCGGAAATGTAGCCGCCACAGCCGGGATTCGATCCCGCGACCTGCGGGTCAGCAGCCGAGTACCTTAGCCACTAGACCACTACGGCGGGGCAGGTTGATTAGCTTAGTAAGTGGTTCAACGATATATGGTCATTGCCAAAGTGCGATAGCTGAGTGTAATCTAGACGAGGTGCAGAAAAGAGATGGGCGAATGCTAGTACGAGCTATGCGTGTTTGATCTTCGCGCAGTATGCATACGGTAGATTTGAGATCGACTAATGGATATGAGCGACATTACTTGCTCTGTTGGGGTGCAGCCGTTGACCATGCTTTGGAATGAACGATGATCACCCTAAAGAGAACGGACAACGAACTCAAGCAGTACGAATCCCTGTATCTTCGAAAAGGTTTTGCGACATTGTCCCAATTATCCCATTCTCATGGACAAAACGGCCACATAAAGTGGACCTGAAAGCACCGTTTGGCCTCCGTACACCTTGAAATGTATTGAAACTTTCATTCTCCTCGCTTAGGCAGAGTCAGATTTCGTAAAATAACGTAAAATTTACCGACATGGAAACTACAGCCGAGAACACTTGTTCTATGTTCATCTTCTTTTGTTTTCCGTGTATGCATGGCTTGCTTTCATTGACGACGAATTTTCTAACAGCTAGCTCAGCTGCTCGGAAAGTAAAGCAGGTTTAAATAAACCGCACCTCTTAATTTGTCAGTTGAGCACGTACCCTTGCTACTCCAGGGGTACATGTGACTCATCCAACAATGACTTCAACCCTCCACTCGCATCAAAATGAGGCGGCTAATCTATACGTATAATCAATGTGCAGTCTCTCTACTCTACTTAAATGCCTCAGTGCTCTACCGCAGCATGCTGGGTGGGGAGGAGAACAGTGTATTAAGGGAACATGATTGATAAGAGGGGTTTAACGTCCCAAAACCACCATACGATTGTGAGAGACGCCGTAGTGGAGGGCTCCGGAAATTTCGACCACCTGGGGTCCCTTAACGTGCACCCAAATCTGAGCACACGGGCCCACATTTCCGCTTCCATCGGAAACGCAGCCGCCGCCGCCGGGATTTGATCCCACGACCTGCGGGTCAGCAGCCGAGTACCTTAGCCACTAGACCACCTCCGTGGGGCATATTAAGGGAACAGGATAAGTTCTATACGAGCTTTGTATTTTAGGCTAACTATATGTACCTTTTTCTTCATAAACATAGATGTTACAGCAATTATTTACTATCATTGTGATCATAAACCATTCCTCTTTTTACTGAATGATAAGTATTCATGAAACTCATATTACTAATTTTTGTATTTGTTTTACTTTACGTAGCTAATTATCACCCGGTAATCGGTATTAGATGTCGTCTTGAAATAAGTGATTCCTCACACAAGAATGATTCTGCTGCAGTATATTTTCTAGCACGTTATCTAAATACTGACTGAAATCTATGTTTCTAAATACAGTGTTTGCTAAGAAGAAGGTACATAACTTCAAAAAAGCATGTTTTGAGACAATCGTGTGTAAAGTGGAAAGCATGCTTTATATCAAAAGTACCACAAAATAACCGCCAATTGAAGGACACTTTTAATAGGCACCAGCCCCACATTCCAATCACCAATACCACTTTTTCTTTTTGACTTGAGGCGTCTCACCTGGCGAGACTCCTCTGTTGCCTGCTTCGCAGCCGTGTCTGAAAAGTACTGTCGAAGCAGGTCAAGTGCGCATAGGTCCTGCACTGTCTAGCGGCCTGGCGAAACTCCAAACGAATTCAGCTCATTCAGACGAGTTATATTGCCATCATTTAACGGGATTACGGCGTCAAGGCTTTGTATTTTCAGTTTTAGGCGTCCGAAAAACACGTTTTTTGAGCACGTTCGCAGACGACATCGTTGAACGACTCATTAGGGTTTTGAGGTTTCTCATAAAGACATTTCGCCAGTAATTCGGGATTGGCAAGTTGATCATAACGGGACTTAACAGCCTCAACAACAGGTGCTGGAAGGCGTTCTTTGTGATCGTATGGCTTACCACTGAATTGGACTTTGTTAAATCTGCACCAGATATCAGCGTCCTTCGGGCAAAGGCCGTGGGGTGGATTGGTATTCTTTGATGCTATGTGGAAATATGTGGCCCATACAGCTGTTCGCATGTCCGCAAAGCTGTCTATATTTCTTCCAATGGCTAAAACATGATAATTTTGGAACTCCGCGAACAACGCGAGCAACGCACGCAAACAACGCGTTGGGAAAAAACGCCCGTAAAGTACTTTTACTTGCGGCTAAACATTATCTCGACAGATGAAGCACTTATTACCAGACTAAATATAATTCTTACTAAACTTGCCAAAAAAATTAGTGCCCTTCATTTCGGCGAGTGTTTAGCTGCCCACGTCTGCACTCAGGTGAAGCGTGCCTAAGGGGGTTGAGAGCAGGCCACCACATAGGTTTCGAAATATATGTACTTTTTAGACAAAAAAAAATGTTGCGCTAGAACAAACAGATGACCGATTCTGGTTCAGAAATAGCAACAGTTTTCAAATTGCACAAAAATAAAGTACATTTTTCATAAATATTTTTGCTTACCGTTTCCTTAAAAAACGTTGAGTCAGGGATGTAAATGCTCAGTGTGGAACTACAAGACTTTCTCCACATTCAAATACAATTTCACGATGTAGAACACCAAATTTACGCTTTATTAGATGCGAAGCATCTCTTTGACTAGGCTGTGTAACGTTGTCCCTCCGTACATCCCTACTGCGCATGCCCGCGTCTCATGCCGAGACGTGCATGCTTGTGTCTAGTGCGGGCCCAGGAAGACACCCGCATAACTGTCGCTCCCGCTTCGCTCTCTCGTCTCACAAGTCTAACGCAGGCAGCGTCTGCTGTTAAGAAACTGACTGCTCGCGCTTCACAATCGTTCACTGGCCACCCAGGCACTGGATCGCGCGTTTGTAATTAATTCAAGGGCGTCTTTACTTGGCTTTCGCTCGATGAGCGCCAGCAGCAACGTCGCCGCCTGTAAGCGTTCGTGCCCGCTGCTTTGCATGTACACTTGGTCCCCCTTAGCGGAAGTTGGTCAGAGTTTTCTTGTTCTTTCTAAGACAAAAACATTCTTAGCATGACCATCTGACACGGGAAACCAATAACAGGCCATCTGTTACAGTTGAGGAACATGTGTAAAAACAAGAGAGGAACTCCAGAGAACTTATTATAGCTGTCAAATCTGCAAAAAGTTCCGGGATTAACTGGCGAAAGCAGCTAGTTCGAGATAAGAATTATTTCATGTCACCGACTTGTGTCCCAGTTTACAAAGAGCTGTAATTTGTGGTCGTGGGAAGTTAAAAGATGAGGAAGTGTGCAGCTTGGCCAACCCGAGCGCGCCACGTCTGCAAATCTCAGCAATAGAAACAGCCACCGCGATTGACCTCGCGTCTGTCCCAGACAAACATGTCGTGCCATGTTCGACGTCGGCGCAAGCCGAGAAAGAAGCGCTGGTAGGCACCGAGGCACCGGAATTATCGTTAAACCTAGCAGCTGAGTGCCCAGAAGAAGCTGACGTTGCGAGATCTACGGGCGCTGGTGTCTCGCCTGGAACAGAATTAAAACCGAATGAGCAAAGCCCTTTGGATCATTCCGAAAGCCAGGCTCGTGACTCCCTTGAACAAGTAGCAAGATGCCATGGGAGTTCTTTACTGACGCGTCTCGACAAGCAATCCATGATCAAGGTCGTTGGAGGCGGCGACAACGTTAACGCTGCAGCCCTACCACCATCTGATTCGTCAGACAGCAGCTTCAGCCTCGAAGTCGACAGTAGCATCGGACTCCCTTCTAGCCCAGACAGTTGTGACGTGGAAATGCAAGCCCCGCGAGAAGTCAAGCGTGCTCACAAGTCTGGCACCAGCTCGGACGGCACCCACGACAGCCGCTCCGAATTCCAGCAACCGAAGAAACCTCGACCCTCTTCTAGAGGGTCGAATTGTGCTGTGTAGTGTACGTACTCCAGTTCCCCCGGACAAATCCCCGGGGTATACCGAATCGAAAAACACGACCAGGTCAGTCACACATCTTTTTTCAATATGGCTGACACCCTGAAAATTCTTTCTTTAAATGTTCAAGGGTTCCGTAACCCAGTAAAGCAAGCCGAGGTTATCAGCATAGCCCACGCAGAACATTGTGATATTCTGTGTTTACAAGAAACAAATTTTTTCACCATTGGCCACGTTCGTGCATTCAAACGCGCATTTAATTTAGACTGTTATTTTTCCTTCGCGACATCTCGCTTCTCTGGAGTTGGAATTATTATTTTTAACCGCGCTCTTCTGCGAAATCATCATGTTTTCTATGACGCGTTCGGACGGGTATTGGCTTTTGACTGCGTCCTATCATCCTTCAAGCTGCGTGTTTTGTGTATTTATGGGCCAGCTCAAGCAGCGATGTCTAACGATTTTTTCCGTGACCTGGACGTGTATTTTCTAGACGGTCGTCATGTTATACTCACTGGAGACTTTAATTGTGTATTAGACACGCGAGCTGACGTGCAAGGCCCAGGATGGGGTCGCTCTGATTGGAACGCGCGAGAGCTGCGTCGCCTAGTGCAACATTTCTCTTTGATAGAAACGTACAGACTAGTGCATGGACCACAGTATGCCTGGACTTGGCGGCGTAGCACGTCGTCTAGTCGTTTGGATCGTTTCTATGTGCCGAGCGCGCTAGCTTCTTACGTATCGCACTCTGATGTAGTAACGTTACCATCATCGCCTGTTTATATATCAGACCACCGACCAGTGACGCTCGAGGCTCACTTTCCCTTTTCATCATCAGTGAAACCTTGGCGTCTTGACATCCGCATTCTGCACGACGCGCCTACACGCTCCAGTTTATCTAGAAGCTTGCGGGCCTCTCTCTTGGGATGCGGTCCGGAGGTGTGGGACGCGCTCAAGACACAGTGGCGTTTACACTGCTCAGTAGCAGGGCGGGCCCTCAGACGCCGTACGTCCGAAGAACTAGCGGACACTGCCACAAAGCTGCGTATTGCTCTTCGGGTTGATCGACTAACTCCCTTGATGCGCGCATGGCAGCGAGAGTTAAGGGGTCGTTTTCAACGACTCATTGCAGCTTCGTCATTGACGGCGGCTGCTTGGCGTTGCAGACGTAATCCATGTGCTCACCCTGAGGTTCTCCGCTTTGCGAAAAGCTCGCTTCTCAACCCGTCGAGTCGACTAGGAACTCCGGCGGCCAGATTCTTACACACTGCGTTGCCGCGGACACGTGATCAATCAATTTTCCTAGCTCACTTTGCCAACATGGCTCGTACGACAATGTCATCACATCGCGGTACCACCGAGACAGCCACAATGTTAAGTAGGCTACCTCAAATTTCATCTGAAGTCGCTGAACAACTGTGCACAAGTCCGTCAGCTGACGAAGTGAAAGAGGCACTGTCTTCCATGAAGCGTGGCTCGGCCCCCGGGCCCGATGGGTTGCCTGTTGAGTTTTATTTAACGTTTTGGGACGCAATTGGTGCTCTTTTCACCTCTGTTATTTGCCGCTGTTTCGAGAACTTTGATTTTCCTGATAGCTTTCGCGATGGTCGAATTGTTTTGATACCTAAACATGACCCATCGTCAGTTCGCCCAGAGGAGTGGCGACCAATAACGCTCCTCAACGTTGATTATAAAACTTTCGCGGCAATTATCACTCGGCGTTTGAGAAGCTTGATGCCCTCCTTAATAGGTCATCATCAGGCGTGCTCTATTCCTGGAAGAGAAATTCACAGTCTCTCCTTTGTTACGCGCGATATAGTTGCGTACACGTTAACAAGATCAGCTCAGGGACTCTTGGTTTCACTTGACCAAGAAAAGGCATTTGATCGCCTCGAACATAGCTTTATATTTAGCGTAATGGCAGCATTTGGCTTCTCACAAAACTTCGTTGAGCTTCTCAGAAACGCATACCGAAATATACGCAGCACGTTGTTTCTTGATGGTTTAGAGAGTGCGCCATTTACGGTTACCCGTGGTGTTCGCCAGGGGTGTCCTTTATCCCCTGCACTTTTTGTACTCAGCCTCGAACCATTCCTTCAATCGCTAATCGCTGACCCTTACGTTAGAGGCCTTCCTCTTCCAGGTAGTGGTACCGTGACAGTGACAGCATTTGCTGATGACATCACGTTGTATTTGAAGAATGAGGACAGTTTATCCCGTAGCCTACGACTTTTTACGACGTATGGCATGATTTCAGGTGCCGCTTTAAATTTTTCCAAATGTCGATATTTATTCATTGGTTCCCCAGACGCATGTCTAAGTTCCTTTTTCGGTCTTCAGAAAAGTGACTCTATTCGTATTCTGGGGCTTGATTATACTTCCTACGGCATATCAGGCTCCTTGTGGAATTCAGTAGTCGAAGATGTAAAACGACACGTCCGGGAAGCACAAGAGTATGATCTACCGATGCTCGAAAGAAGGTATTTAGCACAGACGGTGTTTTGCGGCCGTGCATGGTACATATCTCACGTCTTACAGCCCCCATTACGAACCACCAGGTCGTTGCAATCCCTCATTGGCTCCTTTTTCTGGTCGGGTGGAACAGAGCTGGTCTGCCGAGCAGCTCTTAGGCAACCGAGAAACTGCGGTGGATTCGCATTCCCATCCGTCTCTGTTCGCTGCCGGCTGCTTGCCCTACGATTCTTACTTCGGTTGTTGCATGGTGATCAGTGCCCCGCGCGTGATCTTGCCTGTTATTTCTTGGGCACCAAACTACGCTATTTACTACCTGATGCACGGCTTAATTCTGCACCGCAAACACTTAACGTGCCTGCATTTTACTCAACGGCAGTAGCACTTTATCGACACGCGCAGCAGGTTTGTCCCGATGTGGACATTCTTGAAAGCCACATCGTAGATACAACGGCGGCTCTTCTGCTTCCTCTGGTTCCTCCAGCCCGTCTAGCACGATCGAGACATGTCTCGTGGAGCGCGATAACGGCATCGTTTTTGCCTGGTCACCTCCGTGACTTTATGTGGCGTCTTGGATGGGGAGTACTCCCAACACGGGACAGATTGGAGAGGTGGCGCATGGTCCCATCTTCCACTTGTCCTAACTGCCCGTTACAGGAGTCTAACCAGCATATGCTGAAGCAATGTGTCATCGCAAAGGTGTTTTGGAAGTCAGTTAACGCTAGTTTTCGTGGCCTAGGTGTTAATCGCTTTGTAACATCTGGTCGCTGCTCGCGTAGTCGCTTTGCACGCCTTCTAATAGCTGCGGGAGCCTTTTGTTTATGGCGTAATAGGTGCGAAGCTGTTGCGGCAGGTCATCGTCGTCGTGCTCTTTTTCCGATTCTGGAACGTCTCTACTGTGAACTTTTATCGTTTCTGTCGGAGGAATTGTTCTTCCTTGGGGAGGAAGAATTTCTGCGACAATGGTCGTGCCGCTTTCTGTCCGTAGTTGACAGACGCGTTCGATTAGTCTTCCACTTGGCCTGGTTTTTATAGCCAGGTCACCTGTTAATGTCTGATTGGTGCGTGTAATCAGTATGTGTTTACTATTCTATGTGTTTGTGTATGTCCCATATTGGTGTGAGCTCTTCTATATATGCACTTCATTCTAACGCTGTAAGTTATGTAACTTTTATGAATATTGATACCTGTTGTACATATTTTCTAACATCATCACCAAGTCTTGTAAATTCTGCACATATATCATCATGTACATTGTCCATATTGTGATTAGTGCATTTATGTAGTGTATGTATAGTTATTAGTACTATGAACGATGGACATCCTATGGACTTGGACACTTGTTTAAATGTGTAATGTATGTTGTGCTTTGTCTTTTGTTTGTTATTGTGCCTGTTATACAGACGCTTGTCCCTTAGCTTTGTTGCGTCCCAAGAGAGAATAAACTTTTTCTAAACCCATAATTTCGGGTTAGCGCGACGGCTCAGTGCTCTTCCATAGTTGAGTACGAAGTACTCGAAATCGTTAAACATTTTTTTCTAAACACAGTTCTGATCTTGGCCTTTCGGGTAAGAACAAAGGGCAGTTGGGCGTGCAAGGAAAACGCTCTGTTTAAGCGGGACGGCTTAGTGCTGTCCCATAGTTAAGTATGAAGTACTCGAAATCAAACATTTTTTTTTCTAAACACGCAATTTTTTTCTCTTGTTTCGCGTTTTTTTACCCACGGGACCACTTTATGCTCGCCCATAGTAGAGTGCCAAGCGCTCTAAATTGCTAACCACTTTTTCTACACACACACATAGACTCTCCGCTCGGCTTTTTTTGACTGGGATGGATTTCTGCTCTCCCATTGTAGAGTATTAAGTACTCTAAGGTGTTTAACCGTTTTTCTAAACACACAGTAGAACTTGAACACTTCCGTCACGGTTTCGCTTTTACCCTTGGGGTGCTGTCCGTCAACTCGTTCATGACGTAATTTTTGTCAACGTGGCCTCATGAAATGTGAGGCCCACGGGCTGGATTTATGCTCTCCCTTAGCAGAGTACCAAGTATTCTAAATCGTTAGCAAATGCTTTTCTAAGCACTCACAAAGTTTGGTCTCCTGAAATAAAGTCGTGTAAGGCTCTTTACTAGTGGGTATAAGCAGAACGCTGTTATTCTTTAGGCTCACGCCCCAATTTTCGTCAACAGAGCCTCATCAAGTGGAAGGCCTACGGGACAGCTTTGTGATCTCTCATGGTAGAGTAACAAGTACTGAAAATCGCTAATCCCTTTTTACCTTCTCCCTCCTCCCGCCTTCATGTACCAGGAGGGCTTTTTGCTCTCTCATAGTAGAGTATCAGTACTCTAAATCGTTAAACATTTTGTGTGTTTAGAAAAAAATTGTAAACGATTTAGAGTACTAGGTACTCTACTATACACGCCAAACTGTTCCGATTTGCATTTACACCTGATTACTGTTATGCCAAGAACTTTATGTTTGTGTACGTAGTTTAGGTAAACTACGTTTTTGTCAGTTCGCTAAGCGAGTGCAGCGTTAACAGAACCTCTTTAGTTGTTTTCTTCACTTGTTTCTTTTGTCAATCGCACGTCTTTGAGCCCAATCTAGTTCTGTGTTAGTTTAGTTCAGGATTGCCTCATATTCGTACTACCCTTGGTGACTGCTTCAACCACACAATTACGCATTCTGTGGTGGATATCTTCCGACACCTGCTCTGGAAGCGTGCGGCTTGGCCGTGTGCCATTGCGACGCCAAAGAACGGCATGCTTGCCACCTAGCTTGTTTACGTCTCACGTATGTCGAACAAAAAGATGTGTCCCTTAACATGCCGACAATGGAGATAACATGTAGTTCCTACAGTTTTTTTTAATCCGTTTTGCTCCTGTTTCTGGTATTTTGCAGCCTTGTATTCTCATGTAGTTGTCACCCAAGTATGGCGATAGTCTTCTGCAATTCACTTATGTAGTTTTGCATTGTAACCGAACACACGTGAAAAAAATTAATGACGGTCCCATTGAAAGCACGCCACATGCCTCTGCAGGTTGCGATTCGGGCTTCGGCCACCGTCTCGCTAAGCGGCTTGCTTGCAAGCGCTTCCTGGTGTTCGCCGGTTGCCTCAACTCGAAAAGCGACGGGGCCGAGGAGCTGAGCCAGCTGGAGAACATAGTTGTCTTGCAAATGGACGTTACGAAGCAAGAGCAAGTAGACGAGGCTTTCCTCGCCGTGAAGGGAAAGTTGGGTACCACAGGTGAGCAAGTGCATTTCGGACGAGTAACAAAGTCACCTTCTGAATGACGCCCTGCTGTGAAAATGATCGCAGCGTCAGAGTGTTCTGTAGGTAATTTCAGGAACATCTGTGTGTACCATCATACGAGTATTGATTTTGAGATACACAACAGTAAAAGTGATAGGATCACGATGTTGCGACTATGACAAATCGAACAGCAAGCAGGCAGAGAAAATGACCAAGAGGCAAGCCGTTCATTGGCCTTACTTATGCGTCGAGCAATTTTAATTTGTTGACGATACCTGTGATCACAACTGGCGATCATCGAATCAGATATGAAGGTAGTCTTAGCCATATGGCTTTTCCACTCGAAGCACAGACTTCTCTAAGACTTTCTCGAGGTCTGCAAACAAGGACAAAGCGACGTGACGAAAAAAAAAAGTTGTGATAAGACTGCAGTTGATGAGTACGCTCATCAGTGTATGCTGGGCACAGATGTCGTGCTTCGACACCTATCCCCTAGTGTCTTTGCCGACGAAATTAAAAGACAAAAGTGCGAAACATGGACATTTGTCAGTATTAGTGTTTTTTGTTCGAGGGGCATTCAGCTCCTTCATGAAACTCTCAGCTTTTTTGTTTATTCTGATCATAAAATATCAGCTCCCCATTCCCCCCCACCCCACCCAATTTATTCACGGAAACAAAGTTTAAATACGTCTCAAGTGAAAGTTCAGTTTTTGCAAACTCACACACTTGGCGTTGCGTAATAACCAGTTCATTCTAGGTAAACGGTTGCCATGACAATAGGTTCCAGTGGCTTGGTGCCTCCAGCTAACCACGTGAGGCTAAAAAGAGAAATAAGAACAGCAGAAAGAGAAGTGGAAATATAGAGTCAAAAATTATTTTTTGAAATGATAATATTAGAGTGGTTTATTTATTTCAAATATTCTGCCATGAATTCAGAAGTATATTTAAAAAATGCCTCACATCATCCTAAAAAAACATGCGGTGTCAATGCTGACAACTCCATTTGCGAGCCTTCATTGTCATTTGACAATCCTAATTTGCGGCTTTGCGACGTAGCAAGCTCAGCAATAGCTCCTGGGTGTCATTCTAATAAAATGAGTTCTTTCCACCTCTCCATGCAGTACTATGGGCAGTCGTGGCGAACGCCGGAATAGGAAGCAGCGGACTACTGGAATGGACGACCGTGGAAACCATCGCGAGAATATTTGACGTCAACGTCTTCGGTGTCCTTCGCGTCATCAAGAGGTTCCTGCCCCTCTTGAGGAAAAGTCAAGGCCGAGTCGTCACTGTTGCCAGCCCCTTAGGTGAGAGGGGCACATCTTAGATCCCAACTTTTCTGCGCAAGCCCTCGAGCCCATAAAAACGAATATCTCCGGTTGTTAACGTGGGAGTTCCCACAAGATGCGTGACACGATGATGAAGTCAACGATAGGCACTCGATAGAAGCACGGCTAAAAACATGGTCCAACAGTGTGTCTGCTGTGTGGAGATAGAAAGAGAGAGGGGAGATGGACGGATATTTTCACGACAATCTGGACATGTTTGTCTGGCTTTTCACCAGGCAAGCTACTCCAGATGCTGCGTGATGAATACAATGTATACAAGAATAAACGCAAAGTTTCTACAGCTGCGCACGTAGACTACCCTAATTACAAAAAAATAATTCAGAATTGAGGACGCAAATGAGTCAAAATCGCTTTTGTGGCTCTTACGCACAGGAGCTGCTTTGTCATGAGCCCAAATTGTGTGCCAAGTCTCTCAGTACATATGCCCATATATGGATATATAAGCGAAGTGTGTGCTTTTTGGATTAACCTTCACTCTTGCCGGTTTCTACCATTCATATAAATTTCAAAGAGGAGGAGGGGAAGGGTTCTTATTGCATTCAAATTCTACCTAATGAAATCGCGGCCCATGCATTCTGTAAAGAAGCTACGCGATCACTTCAATATCCGCACTAACAAAGGAAAGAGAGGAAGTTCAAAGGTCAACAAATTACCACTGTGACCTGCGCAGGTGGATACCAAGAAAATACCTGTTTTCGACTTGTAAGTTACAGAGTTGTTGATTGTTGGCTAAGTCTTTCGCGTCGCATGAATCTCTCACCGTTAGTAGGCAGTCCGAAAAATGAATGGTCGAATGGAAATTGACTCTTATTTCTCCCCAGACTAGCTACGTACTTTTCTTTTAAATCTTTCCCAGGCCGTCTCGCATCTCCAATGGTGGCACCTTACTGCATGAGTAAGATCGCTGCTATCTCCATGATGGATGCCTTTCGACGTGAGTGTCATGGCCGAGGCGTCGACTTCGTCACAGTGGAGCCCGCAGCATACAAGTGGGTACAACGTTTCCTTTCTGCAGGATGGCCTTCACTTTCTCTACACATTTCTAAATGACAGGAACATTTTCTTCCCTGATTTAACTGCCAACTTCGTAATGACGTTGTGAGGCCTCGTGTCTTCACACAAATTACAAAATCGCTAAATAGCTCTTCTTTTGCGCAACCAGTTTCAACTACGCCCCGCAAACGTTTGTTGCATGCAGTGTTGAAAAACAAGCTTCAAACGCTATACCACCGAAACAAATGCCTTATGGCGTTCCTTGTGGAATTGCCTATTTGATTACACGTCGCACAGAACTACTGCAACTCATAAACGCAAGTGCCACTTCTCATTTTCCCACAGGACACCCATCGTCTGGATGTTCGCCGATTCCAAGGAACGCGTGATGGAGGAGTTCCGAAAGCAGAGCCCCGAAGTGATCGCCGACTACAGCCAAGACGATGTCGACGAGTGGCTTAGGGTGACCGACAACTTCTCGGGGCCGATGATCAGAAAGAACCCCGAAGAGTGCGTCGACGTTCTCGAGAAAGCGGTCAGGGAGACGCGGCCGACAACTCACTACAGCTCGCCGTGGGGATCTGACCTCCTACTCCTTTCGGTGTTACTGTCCTTGCCCAGCGACGTCGCCGACGCTGCCATGGAAATCATCCGAAAAGTACAGCTCAAGATTATGTGACACTGCCATTGCTCCGAGTGAAAGACGTCCGTTGGACTTCCGCTAGATCCAACAGACGTCCAACGGACGTCCGTTGGATCCGGAAAGTACATCTCAAGGATATGAAATAGCAATCACTACGAACGAATGGCATTGATTGAGTTTCGTTGATTGATTTAGAGATTAAAGTAATTGTTAATATACTAATAATATTGTTTTTTGTTATAAATAATAGTTATATAATATAATACGTTCATCTGAACTGCATGTAAGCGCTGTATCGGCCGCCAGCACTTGCGGAAGGGATTGATTCTGTTTTATTGTTTTAATGTTCCCGTCGTTGCCATAGTTTCACGGGAAAGCCTTTGATTAAGGGAGCCGCTGCTTTTGAAAGAGGAAATTCCACACAACTTATCGCACTGCTTAACCAAGGGTGTCGTTGTGCGCCACGTGTACCCAATCACCCGATTTCTCAACGAAGCCAAGTTCAAAGTCATGTCACGTTGCGATGTGCACGTGCGCACATACACAAACATACATACAGAGAGAAACAGAAAGAAAAATTCCTATCGTGAACTCGCGGAGCATTACTAGGTCAAGGATAACTACACTCTGGAAAGACAAAAAAAAAAGTCTGAGTGATGAGGAGAAGAGAAAGAGAAGGAGTGCAAGAGGCAAGCAGGAGCCCAACATACAAGCACACAGGCTCAGATTTCATTGCCCAGATAGTAATAGGCGCTGTCTAATTTTGAGGAAAGTGTTGTTGCTGGCGCAAACTACGCCTTCGGAAGCTTTACCGAAGCAGGATGTATGCTAATCATATACAAAGTAAGACAGAATTGGAACAGTTCGTTATTGCGGGAACATTCACGAAAAAAAATTCAGACTTGTGACCAGTAGCAAATCACAGCGATAGTCACCAGCATTTTTCGCTAATCTTGTTTATTGCTAATTTAACTATTTTAAAATTCAAGAGCCATGTCCTTCGACGCAAGCGTTTATTCGCAAATTGAAGCAGGCACTTTGCCCGATTAGTACGAGGCGAAATAGTCGCCGTTACGCAACATAATTTCCTCGATAGCTCGAGGTCATCGTTGGAAAAGTGTTGCGCCATACATCATCACTGACAGTGAGCGTGTTTCGACGCCAGAAACGCTCGATGACCACACACACGCGTTCTTAATAAAAACTACCGTTAAGCGAGTCACATCAACCAGAGGAGCTTCCAAAGCCACTCACTCACCTCATCGTTCGATAGGTACACTTACAAGGTATGGGCAACGACGAATTCATACGTGGGGCTCACAACGTGAAGGAACGCGAAATACGATTCACGTATAGGTAGTATGGTTTACATAACGTAACCGTATTGTGTAAAAAATAAACGTGCACAGGCAGAAGTTAACGATATGTATCCACAACCAATCTTTCGTACCGTTTACGACACGCCAAACATCAGGGTACTTGTTATGACAAGAAAATTTTTTTTCTTGCAAAAAGCAAAGACCGTCCTTGTCCTTGAAAGACTCATGCCCTTGCCTCGGTTAAAAATAAAGAAGGAAATAAAACTTGTAGGACGCTAGAGCTTCGTCTTCAAGGACGGAACACGACAGAGTTATCAGGCTTCGATCGTGATAGCCTTCTCAATCCTTTGCCATGCTTCGCCAATCAGAGGACAAATTCCCCGTGCTTTTCGTAAAGAAATGCCCAGTAACAATGGTCTTTGGAAGCACTCCTAGACTTCCTGCTGCAGGTACGTCTGCGGAGTATTCCCTACACCATAGTTTATATTTTCTCTTATTTATTTTTTAACTCTCCCTTTCTCTTTCAACCCCCTATTCCCCAACCCCAGTGTAGGGTAGCATACCGTAGCATACCGGATACTAGCATCTGGTTAACTTCCCTGCCTTCCTTTTTTCTCGTTTCTCTCTCTCTCTTTCAAGGATCAGTGGAGTATCCAGTAAACGTTGGCGCAAAGCAAAATGCACGCCTACGCTGCAGCACACACTGTTGATTCTGATGGTTATAATGAATAATTATGTGCCGATTCGGTAGCAGATGATGGTGATAATGAATAGGCTTACGGGGCCTAGCGTTCCAGAGCACCTCAGGCCGTGTGACAAGCTCTATAGAGGAGAGCATAACTACGACCAACCGAGGTTATTTAATGTGCACTTACATCGCACACTACGTGGTCATGCAACGTTTCGCTTCCATCGAGATGCAATCTGCCGCGGAGGGAATCGATCTCATGACCTACGGGCCAGCAGCCTGGCCGCACGTAACCGCTAAGCTACAGTGGCAGATAATATGCCCTTCTTACTGCCCGGCGAAGTGCATGATGTCAGTGTGATGACGCTAAATTCAAATGGCGTCCCACTTATGATATATTATGACAGTCGAATGCTTCTTTCAATGACGCTTTTTTGTGCTTTTGGACATCTAGAGTGCAAGGTCATTTTTTTACCCATACAGAATAGACTAGACGCCATCACGCGTCCTTAATGTTCCACATTCTTACGGTGAACACTTGGGGGATCATTTGCGTGCCATCAACGGTGATTTATCACAATCGCAGCAACATTTTCAGCAGGCGTGGGGCCAGGAGCGAGCAAAGCGGGGGGTACACGAACCCCCTAAAATTTTCATCTGCCCCTTTTCATGCCCCGAGGTCGAAGCACAGTGCCTATAGTAATAAAAGTTGGGCCAGTTGTTAAGGCAACATTTTTGTGTACAGCGGGAGACAGACAAACACGGAGGGATACATCAGTTCCCAGTAGTGTGTTGTGTCTTTTTTTTGTTGTGTGTGTGTTTGCGCAGTAAAAAGTACCTCCATGATTACGAATCAACTAGGCCCAAAAGAAGTTTTACTGAGGTTCCCAGACTTTCCTAAGCTCCCAGTCTTCGATCCTGTTCCCCTGACAAAACTGAGTTGTCGTCGAGAGTGCATACCCTCTCCCCCCCCCCCCCACCCCACACCCGTTAAAAGAATCCTGACACCACTCCGGTTTTTCAGCTTACGACACTGCTTTCCTGCCATCGCCTAGCCATTTATGTGGAGCACTTCACTGAAATCTTTTTTATTGTCGCTTACCGGCTGCAAAACATACAAGAGCAACGCAGGTTGAATGATCATACGGAAAACAAGCCCTTCTGTGGCTCGGGGTGGCCTTCATAAATGCTTACTTGTTTCACACCACCCGCCTCGGTGGTCCAGTGGCTATGGCACTCGTCTGCTGACCCGCAGGCTGCGTGATCGAATCCCGGCCGTAGCAGCCGTATTTTCGATGTAGGCCAAAATACTTGAGGCTCGTGTGCTTACAAAGTGCACGTTAAAGAACACCAGGAGATAATTTCTTAAGAACGCCAGGTGATAATAAACCCCAACCATTATTATTATTACTCGTTTTAAACTGATTTGATTGATTTGTGGGGTTTAACGTCCCAAAACCACCATTTGATTATGAGAGACGCCGTAGTGGAGGGCTCCGGAAATTTTGACCACCTGGGGTTCTTTAACGTGCACCCAAATCTGAGTACACGGGCCTACAACATTTCCGCCTCCATCGGAAGTGCAGCCGCCGCAGCCGGGAATCGAACCCGCGACCTGCAGGTCAGCAGCCGAGTACCTTAGCCACTAGACCACCACGGCGGGGCTACTCGTTTTAAATTGGATTGGCCTGTAGCGTGTCATGTTATAATTGTAGCCCATCTTTTGCGGGAGTGACATCGCTTCCATTCACTAGGAAAATAACTTTCGAAAGTGTTCGATAGGCTTGACACTCACCCGTCTGGAGGAAAAGGTCTTGGGGCACTGGCCGAAACCGTCCTTGGCACGGAAAGCTTTTAGAGAGTTGTCACTTTTTTTTTTATGGACAGCGGGTCTCAAAAACGGATTTTAAGCAATGTCGCCTAACGTATCATTGTTCTGTCTTTTTTTTACTCTTGCTTTTCTTTAATTTCTCTCTTCTATCATCTTTCGTTTCCCTGACCTTTTCTCAGCAGCACAGTGAAGTCAGATGGTATAAAAAAGGACTAACGTGCTCGTCGTTTTGTTTTGTTTTTTTTTTTCCTTTTTTCAACCTCCTCCTTATAACTATTATTCGCCGGTATGCTACCTCTAATGCCGAAGAAATTCGCACGTATTCCTACGTCAATGTCTTTCTGCCTTGAACCGGCACTTCTCAGACTCGCTAGTTAACTTTTTCCAACATTTGCAACAGGTTAGCAGCAGACAAAACTGGCGAAGAGATGGGTAGATAGCTTGACAAACATGTTTATCATTTATGTTTCCGTCCATCGTAGGCCCATCATTATCGTTTCGGACAAGAGAATGTTTATGTGGTAATATTCGTTGCGGACAAGAGAATGTTTACGTGGTAATACCTGCGGTTTAAGTCCCAAAACGAAGATATGATAATTGAAGACGCCGTAGTGCAGCCTTCGAGAAACATCGGCCATTTGGTGTTCTTTAACGTACGCTGACACAGCACATTACACTGGCCTCTACCGATTTGCCTACTTTGAAATGAGACCACCGCTGCCTGGACAGAAATTTTAACCTTCGGGTCAGCGGCCGAACATCGCCGCCCCTGACCCACCATGCCGGACAATCTTAATACGTGCGGAAGCAATTTGACGTGCTAAACTTTACACTTTGCAAACTGAAATAAAAATGATTTTAAAACAAAAACTGCACGCCTAGTTTACTTAACAGAGATCAAGTTTTCTTTTGCAAATACGCTTAAAATCAATCAACATCACGACAAGATGCTGAGTTCTAAATGAGTTTCCTGTATTTCACGTCTATGCCGCTCTTCACAGAGGCCCTAATACGGATGAATTGTAATTATGTTTCCTGGCTCGTTCTGCACGCCAACGAGTTGGAAGCCTCGAGCTGCGTTTTCTTTATTAGGGTCAGGCATTCAACCATGAAACAAAAGAGTCTTGTGCGAAGGCCTTCTCGTGAGTTTCCCGGTTTAAATCCGATTTCTTTCTTCCCTTTCTCTCATTCGCACAAACACACACACATACAGACACGCTGCTCATCGTCGTATTCTCGCCATACGTACCAACATTCACCTCAAACATGAGCGCTCAAGTGTTACGCAAGATGCAAGCGAACGCCTCGTTGGCTGTCAGTGGCAAGGACAAGCGAATTAATAATGGTTGGCAGAGAGATTGGCCATCTGCGGTACTGCTTGCATTTCTTCTGCAAACAGTCCATTCAATTCTACTTGCTCACCGTTGTGCAATCCCGCCCCAAGAACGTATTTCTTTTTTTTTCTATTTTCATGTGGTCACGGGAGAGCCCTTTGTCAGCGAACTTCTTTTCTCTATGTGCCATCTCCGATGGCAGAGGTCGTCTTGCCTCAAAGGTCTTGTTTCCAGGCGACCTCCTTCCCCGACTGACATCCCTCTCTCGGTCCTTGCGAAAGAGATAGCCAGCTGTATCGACAGCCGCTCCATACTTCATCTAGCGAAACACTCGGAGCTATATAGGGGCTGCCGCCGGGTCTTTTGCGGAGGACGTTCCATGTCTAACAGCTTCAATAAGGCGTCCGTTTCAGTCGTGGCGCCCCCTTTCACAGAAGGAAAAACAGAGCAGCCGACCTCCGGATTTTGATGGAAAGCAGCTGGGAACATAGTTTTACCCGGAAATAGCGACCCTGCCGCCAGACTCGTGAGGCGAAGTGAATGCCTTTCTATGCGTGTATGTGTGTGTGTGCGTGCGTGCCAACGCTCGGACAGCCGGTGCCGACTGTGTATCAGCAGCCGCGGTCCGTCAGTCTCGCCAGGATTGTCACCCGGCTATGATTTGAAGCGTCCGCGAACGTCACTCTGCCAAGGATTCACCGGGAGTAAACTCACGTAGTGAGTGATTTGCAACTTTCACGTCCGTTTCTTATACGGGGAGCAGCTCTACAGCGAGGCAACAATGAGGACGTCGTGGACGTGTTTCTTCGCCTTCCTGTTCTTGTTGTGGAACCTGTGGAGCTACCTGACACCCCTGCGAGAACTATCTGTTATCGTTGGTTCAGTGTGGCTTGCACTTTGGATTTCCTACCAACTGGCGGGACGTGTTTCGAGTGCTTTTGTTACTCAGGTGCACGGCGAAGGAAAGGCTGTGCTGATCACCGGCAAGTATATGATGCCTCTTCTGCATGCGTTATGTGTGTACACACACACCCACACCCATTTGCATATATATATATATATATATATGAAAAAAGTGTCCAATACTTAAGGGCTCGTTTTTTCTGTTTTCTGACACAATATTATTGAGACCTAACAGATAAGAATGTCACGGAAAGTATAGGGGAAGTTATTGTACTGAATGGTGATGTAAATGTGAAGAAAGAAAAGTGGGTGAAAAGATAACTTGCCCTGGGCGGGAACTGAACCTGTGACCTTTGAGTAACGTGACCTGACGCGTTATTCGAAGATCGCTGTTTCGGTTCTTGCCCACTGCAAGTTATCTGTTAGATCTCAATTATCTGTATATATATATATATATATATATATATATATATATATATATATATATATGTGTGTGTGTGTGTGTGTGTGTGTGTGTGTGCGTGTGTGTGTGTGTGTGTGTGTGTGTGTGTGTGTGTGTGTGTGCGTGTGCGTGTGCGTGTGTGTTATACACATCTTTGTTTTTGCTAAGGCGAGAAATGGAGGGTCCGTAGCAGGTTTTAGTGGTGGGTCATGCCCCCTCTCGTCCAACATATCGCTTTTATCCAAAACCCCGTCCAACGTTTTCGCTTTTCACGAAGAAATATTAGTCTCGCTAAAAAAAAGAAAGTGAAAAATTAAACACGACTGGTTCAAGTACGCGCTCCTTCAAGGTCATTAAAAAATCATGCGTGCTATCAATTTTCATTTCAACAATTTGAGTAGCCCATTGAAAAAAAACACAACACGTTTAAATAAATATGAAAATTTTAATGAATACTGTCAGTATTTAGTTTACTTCGCAGTCATATTTTGTTTCTATCAATAATTGCACCGACATCTAGAGAAGTTTTTGCCAGGAGAAGGGTTAAGTGGGAGGATGAGGTCCCCTCTCCCTCTCTGACAAAAACGTCTATTGCTGCGTCCCTGAAGGCAACGTAATATGTGTAGCTGACATCTGCAGTATTACAATAACTCCTTATTTTTTCTCGTATTTTCTTCATTCACGAAGTGGTTCATGAAACACCATCTTTGAAAGACGCATTAACGCGATCACCCCAGGCGGACAACCTACAGAAGCGCTGGAAAAAAACTGAAATGTGAAGGTGGATAGTTAGATAGGACGCGAAACGAACTTGTCTGTTACATGTTGTGTGTTTAGAAAAAGTGGTTAACAATTCAGAGTACTCGGTACTCTACTATGGGAAAGCTGAATGCCGTCCCTGGGGCTTCACACTCATACTATGCAAAAAAACCCGACTGCTAAACCAATGCACCATATACCATCTGCACGAGCTCTGCCTTACTACTCGAGCCGATAATGAAAATGAGATTCCGATATTCCATTCAGGTTTTTCTTTTTGTTTGTCACCTAGGATTTCTGACGCCAATCCTAAACTTAACTTTTGAGGTCATGTACTGGCGTCGAATTGTTGTTCGGCGTATTTTTCAATTGACTTACTTGCGTTAGTTGTTATATAGGAGGAGGAAGAATAAACTTTACTACAAGAAACCAGCAGGTTTGGGTGACCGGGCCTAAGCGTCCCATGAGGGGACGTCAAGGGCTTGCCTCGACGCTGCCTCACGGGCGTATTGGGTCGCCCAGGTCTGGTCGTAAAGAGCGGGGCTCCACAGAGCCTCATGGAGCTTCGACGAAAGGGTTGTGGCGTTAGTGTGTCTGTACTGCGCAGGGCAATCCCACAGCATGTGCGGAAGCGTAGGTTATAATTTATTTGGGCAGCTGGTAGTGTATATATAATATTGAGATGTATATTTCACCCAGGGTCCCGTTGCCATCTTCAAAATAACATCCTCGCATAGAAACGGGTGTGGTGGAACGTTCTTCACGAATGCAAGAAGGGTCCATTGAATGATTGATTTGTCGCTTTCCGCAGGCTGCGACACGGGTTTCGGCCACCGGCTTGCGAAGCGACTGTCGCGTAGAGGATTCCTGGTCTTCGCCGGATGCCTTAGCTCCAAAAGTGGTGGAGCGGAACAGCTTAAGCTTTGTCACAACGTAACTGTGTTGCAGCTAGATGTGACAGATCAGAAACAAGTTGACGACGCCTTGGATAGAGTTAAGGAGCATCTTGGAAGCCGAGGTGAGTCCTGTGAACTCCCTGTGTGACCATGAGTGGTAAGTGGTTGAGATTTGTATATTATATATATATATATATATATATATATATATATATATATATATATATATATATATATATATATATATATATATATATATATATATATAGTGGGAGTAATAATTCAATGGGCCAGTTAGTCTTCGTGAAGGTATGGGATATGGCACAACGGGAGCGTTGTCAACAAGGATAAATATATTTATTTCCCAACAGTTTCGGGAGGGGACCTCCCTTCATCAGGGGATGAGTATAACTCATCCCCTGATGAAGGGAGGTCCCCTCCCGAAACTGTTGGGAAATAAATATATTTATCCTTGTTGACAACGCTCCCGTTGTGCCATATATATATATATATATATATATATATATATATATATATATATATATATATATATTATTTGACTAAAAATAAGCTACACCTTGGAAAATACAACGTTTTCAAGTTTCGGTCGGGGGACAGGCCTTCGTGAAAATTCCAGAATTTTCTAAAGGGGATCAACGTGACGGACAATAAGGGAAAGCAGAGCGGACGCAAAGTAGCTCGTTTTGTTGTTGAGATACGAACGCGCTACCTTCCAATCACGCTAACAAAAAGAGTGATTTTTCGTGCACTCACTTTCATTTCATATGCGTCCTAATTGCCCCATATGGGTAACGAGAACGATCAACCTAGCTTTTACGGGACTCATTTGGCATGCATACACTATATGCACACCACTTGCCGGTTTATTCGACTTACGTCGAATAAACATTTCCTCTTTTGTCATTGTTACCAAGGTTCTTTTACTCATTTCTGTGTATACAGCTGAAGTTTCGTAATGTACCGAGCTGTTTTTTTTTGGTCACTTTTGTAATACCTTTGAGAAAATTTTGAAACGTAGGACTCAGAAAAATCTCCTCGAAATCATTTCATTCGTCATTTTTGTCAGTCTGCATCTCCTATACCTTACAAATGTCATGATGTTGCCACAAAATATCACATCTCGCAACTTATCATAGAACTTTCACCGCCGGCGCCCGAAGTGCATATCTTCGAGTCCCACTGCCGCCGAATGTCCCCGGTTTTTTCTAGTGGGTCGAGAGGTGCCCTGACCTGGCCGTACACATGGAGAATATATATATGAAGATATATGGCACATGGATTTTTAAAACCCCTTACACTGCGAATGGGAAACAGGACAATGGAATGCAAAATAATGTTCGTTGATATTGTGCATAGCAGAATCGTGATTTGATTATGAAAGACGCCGTAGTTTAGAGCTCTATAAGTGTCCTCTTGCTGGGTTTGCTAACGTGCTCCAAAATGAACCAACGTAGATTCCTAGAGTTTAGTCTCCATCGGAAGGGGTGCACTGCGATCAACATAGCATACGTGTGACACAATAGTGTTCAAAGATGGCCGTAGCAGTTATATCTACAGGTTGAGAAAAATGATGCTCAAGAGCGTATGGTATTAATGCCGCGGGTTCGATTTCTCAGTCACTGTCACATTTAGGTGGAGGTGAACTTCTAGAGGCCCGCATACTCTGTGATGTTGGTGCAAGCAAAGAAGACAAGGTGCTCAAAATTTCCAGAGCCCTTCACTACGGCGTCGCTCACAACCATGTCATGCTTTTTGGACGTAAAACCCCAGATATTATTGATATTAGGAGCGTAGTGTACCAAATAGTAACCCAAATACGCAGATGCTGTATATGAAACGTATATAAAATTATATGCGACTATATATCAGCAAATAATTGAGCATACATTAACATGTATGAACCATGTGCCATATACGGCTCTAAGTAGGGAAATATATAGCACGACTGGTCCATAGGTGAAGTCACATACGGCAATATACGGCTAGACCACACCATGCCATATGATATCAAGTAAATATCAAGTAATATCAAGTGATATCAAGTGATATCAAGTGATATATAAACTGATATCAAGTGCTGTGGCGGCTGCATTTCCGATGGAGGCGGAAATGTTGTAGGCCCGTGTGCTCAGATTTGGGTGCACGTTAAAGAACCCCAGGTGGTCAAAATTTCCGGAGCCCTCCACTACGGCGTCTGTCATAATCATATGGTGGTTTTGGGACGTTAAACCCCACATATCAATCAATATCAAGTAAATCTATATATGGTGAAACGGCCACGTATGGGTGAAGAACAAATATATAGTTCCTACTTTCCCTGTCGCCTTCCTGCTTATCTCTTCACGACGTAATTGTCTGTGGTTTTGCATCTGCTGGCATCACTTTCACGTGGCTGTTAGCGGTAAACTGAGAGAGAAAAGCACAGGCTAGAACCACTAAACTAAGCAGCGGGAACAACAAACAGAACACTATACAGTCAGCCTGCGTCCTCTTGAATTGCATTCTAGCTGTGCCCAATAGTTTGTGAAAATAAAGCAGATTTTCTGGTAATATTACGCCATTCCGAGACTTGTGGTTGACTCGCTCGTTCGCAATTCTCCTGACAACTAATTCGACGACAAAATATTTCTGCGATGAATAGAGATATATGAGAAACTTCGCAGCTGTAAACAAGGAGCTGAGTCATTTCGTGTTTACAGTGCCTCCACGAGAAATATTGAAAAACAGTTCAGGCTTGGCTAACGTGTTGATTTTGATTCCATGCATGGACAAAATTGCGGAAACACCTTGCAATTGAAGTGTGTAACACGTAGACAGCCGTGAGGCTCGCTCATTTATAAGGCCGGGTTGGTCACATTTTTGATGCAGTGGACACACCGGACGAAAAGCTTTCCTCGTTAGTTGCAGACAACAAAATCGCACGCTGATTACGCACGCTGCATGCGAAAACTGTCAGCAGGAAGAATAAAACATTACTACTCGAGTTCAAGAGTGCTGGTAGTGATTGAATGCCCGCTGAAATGCTTGTATGCAGTGCTGTATTGTATTTTTCCTTTTTCATCAAAAAAAAGATAACCATATTTTAGAATACGGTGGTTTCGTGCCACCAATTTCCCGAAATGTGGGTGCCCCACCCCCCCCCATGCAATTGTATACTTCGTTTCACCGAGCAACAGACCCGAAGTGCGCTTGTACCATATTTACCAGTAGGTTTTTGGCGACAATGATTCTTTCTGTCAAAGCAGAGGTGGATGTTTGACCATTTCGCCGAGGCTGTGGAGGGTTCAGGTGTTGGAGAACCTAATGGGGCTATATTTAGAGATGGGCAACCACCGATTTGGTGCGCTCCTGAATTTTTCGGGAAAGACCACTGGCTTGCCAGTTTACATTGTGAGTCGAACGCGGTACCTACAGCTTCCCTCACTTGAAGTGGACGCTCAACGTTTTGGCGAGAACTGCGGTGGTTAGAAGAATTTTAACCACGTGCATAACACTATGCGTTCATTAGGCAGTTTATTTTAGCTGCCTAGTGAACACGTAGTTTCTGCAGGTGGTTTGTTTGGTACAGGCAACCATACGGGCTGACTATTATATTTGTGTAACCATATCATTACTGACGTGGTTGAAGAGCTAAAAGGATGACGTGGACGAGAGTAGACAGACGAGAAACGTCAACTTGCAACGACTTTCTTACTATGTCACGGAGTTAGTGTAGTTAATACATATGATTTTGTCACAATTATAGCATAATTGTAATCAGTACCTAATTACAAACATCGCAATAACATAGGCAAATTGAAAAGCATGTCACCCGCACTCGAAGCAACAAAAATAAAGCACTTGCTCAACACTTTGAGAAAAATGCTTTTTTTTTTCGATCATTGATCTGAATCGCGTCATGTGTCTTTCCACTGCAGTGCTGTGGTCGGTGGTCGCCAACGCTGGAATAGGAGCCGGTGGCCTCCTCGAATGGCTGACCACGGAAACAGTGGCCAAAGTTTTCGACGTCAACGTTCTTGGTGCTTTGCGGGTCATCAAAAAGTGCCTACCCCTGCTGAAAAAGTGTCATGGCCGTGTTGTCACGGTCGCCAGCCCTTTAGGTTTGCAAGTAACATTTTTTTTTCAGTTTAAAAGTTGTCGCCGTTTTGATGAATGGGGAGGTAATTCACAATAAAACGTGCAGAAACACTATTTATTACGCGTAGCCTGGGCTAAGAGTATTCACTTATTAGGATGGGTTTATACACGCATGAGGAGTTGTAAATTGATACCCTGATTGATTGATTGATCGATAAGTGGGGTTTTACGTCCGAAAACCACCATATGATTATGAGAGACGCCGTAGTGGAGGGCTCCGTAAATTTCGACCACCTGTAAATTGATACCCTGTAATGGCCACTGTATCATATTTTGTACATTGATTAGGTAGTATTTAGTGGAGAGTAAGAAGAGCAGAGACAAAGGCCTGCGCTCTCACGTAACTTATATCAGCTTAGACCGAATGAAGGATTGCGAACGGAGCCAGTTTAGTGTGAATATTGCATAGAGAACAAAAAATGCCACTGACGGATCCCACCTACGAAAAGAATAATTTTTGGACTAGGTTTGGTGCTTTCAGTTTATGACGGAAACATTTCATTACAATTAGGAAAGCACCAATAGTGAAGGCACCTTCAAAGTCATTAATTTGGACAACATGAGACCAATGTCGCTAACCTTATGTATAGGAAAGCTGCTTAAGACGCTGTATCGAAGTGAGTTTTCGGGTATATCGAGCGTAGGAGCCTCTTCCCTCCTACTATGGTGGGTTCTCGCCCTGGCCTTTTGAAATGTCTACCAATCATCAGTATACTTTTTGCTCATAGGCCATATAGGTTTTTCACTCTAGGTAGTACTCTACAGTTATAAAATGCAGCTATGAGCTGTGTTGTGCATAAAACTTCAGTTGTTTTTGCCTAGAAGATATGGCATTAGGTAAAATATGAATGCTTCAATGAATCAGCAATGAAATATATATGCCTGTCTTCATTGACATAAACAGCCACCAATGAATGTATGCGGTGTTAATATTAATAGTTATACTATTATCATTAGTTGCTAGAATTGCCAACTACAGGTCGAGAAGACTATGTTTGTATTTTTATTCGCATTATACACTCTCAGTCGCTTGAAACTGCACATGCATTACACAAACAAATACATTACAGTAACAAAAAAAAATCGAGACCGTAAGCATGCAAGTAATCTTATGTCCAATAAATAGCACATAACTAATAATAAAGAAGAAGGTTGGGGTAATAAATCAACAGCTGTGTATCCTGTGGTACTGAGGCGTAGCCAGTAGGTTGCATCAACCCCCTCTCTCTCTAGAAGTTTTTTTTCGCCATGTCAGAGAACAAAAATGGCGATATTAAGAGGGTGCTCCTATCGAAATTAGGGTGGTGCCCTCACGCTCCAAAAAAATTTCTTGCTACGCGCCTGCAATGTGGATTACATGCTACATAGGATAACTCGTATAAACATACTCTAGACATCATACGCCAGTGTTTAATGATCCTTCTACATGAACTCTTTCTTGCAGGTCATTTCACGGTTCCTATGGTGGCCCCATATTGCATGACTAAACACGCAGTTGTCTCCATGATGGACGCATTCCGCCGAGAATGTCACTTTAGGGGCGTAGACGTAGTCACCGTGGAGCCTTCAGCTTATAGGTGAGCACAATCATAGTCGCACAGGCACGGACAGAACCCATTTGTCGGCACAATCGGGAAGCGAGTGACAAGTTACTTATTTGTTTTTCAAGCATATGTTCTTGAGCACTGGCCTCCGACTTTCATGTTATTCATCAGAAGCCTGCTGAATATATAAATTGGTGGTTGGCGTTTGAAGCAAACAGTTGTTCTGTGGTAAATTTGGTATCGGAGCATAATTTCACACCAGAAATGGTGAATAACTGTCAGAATATAGCTATTCAAGTTTAATAGACTTCTAATGCAACAATTTAGTTCTTTTATGTCCCATACCTACGATGATTTTAAAAAAAAACGTCGTAGTAGACGTTTCTCAAAATTTTGATACCTGCAATTCTTTATCGCACATCCTGATCTGATTCCACGGCACATGTTGCTTTTGTCGCCATTAAGCCGCCGCGGCAGGAGTTTGATTCCATGAGGTTTGGGTCTTCATTCTAGCCCCATAATCATTAGGCCGCCAGGACAGGTGGCTTTTACAAACGTGAACAATATGTATTTTTTTATAAAATCAGTTCCTGCTGAAATACTAATTGTGGCAGTGGAACAATGTTTTTACGTTTCCATTTGAACTCTTTATAGGAGTCATACATCTGTCGCATATATTCGTAAGGAACTTACGGAGAGGTATGAAACTATCGGAAGGATAGGCAGAACTTTTCAGAAGTGTGCAGTGCTTAATCCCGGGATACCTGCATTCTGCTTTAATGAACAATTGTAACAATCAGTCAGGTTATAGTTTCCATGCTTTTTCTACCTTCCCTCACAAATACTCATTTTTTTCTTTCTTTCATACGTAAAGGACTTCAATCGTCGCAATGTACAACGTTCCCAAAGAACAGTTGATGCGAGAGTTGCAGAAGCAAGACCCAGAAGTGATCTCGGACTACAGCGAAGAAGAAATTAACTGTGCCATAAGAACTATGGACAAGTTCACGCAAATGCTGATCAGGGAAGACCCCGAGGAATGCGTCGACGTCCTTGAGAGGGCAGTCACGGAAACGAACCCCAAAACCCACTACCACTCACCCTGGGGATTAGATAGACTCTACCCGTTGCTGATCAGGTCCATACCTAGCGAGGTCGGAGACCTTGCAATTAACCTCACCACGAAACTGCAAATGAAGATGCTGTCAAGGTCACGAAAGTGCTAAAACGTTTAGCTTAAAAGGCTACTTGCGTGAATTTTCGGAAAGTGAGCCATCTCAGCCTCACAAATGTTGTACCGAGGTGATTTCAAGCCAGTGTGGAGTTCAGCTAATGCTGATAATATCACTTTACTTTTGTATTTAAGGGGCATTTTTTTTCATGGCACAACTATTACCACCAACACTAGCAAGACATCCGGCCATACTGTCAATCCTAGTGAGTTCACCGACCGGTATGACTAGTTGTGAGGACATCAGGCACCAAAAAAGTTTAAATGTTGATTGGTATGTCCGGGCGGAGCCAGAAACGAAGAGAATATTGGGAAACGTCCCGTAACCTGCACGGACGCTTGACAAATATCTCATACCATGTTGCGAAGACAGGTTACAGTGTAAATCCAAGCTAGGTTGTAGAAACATACTGTGAATGCGTTCATCATGGCACAATGACGCTCATCAATACATTTACTAGGCTCTTGAAGGCTTGACTTTCGGGAGCCTAGGACCACAGACAAGAAATGAAAACTTTCGTGTGGGTACTGCTTTAAGTAAAGGTCAATGACGCGAAACCTGGAATGTTGCTGCGCAAACTCGTTCCCGTTTCGCGATTATCGCTTAATCCATAAAAGGCAGAGGTGCTCAGGGAAACACGAAAGCTTGAAGAGACGAAGAATCTTTCAACCCTGGTTCCCACTAAAGTCGAATTTTCGACAGAAAGGCTTCTTTTCTATTAAGCAGTAACTGCATGATCTGCCTTAAGAAGCTTGCGGCTGCATCACCGTTACAAGCAAGGTGTTCAGACGCAGTGTGCCGCCAGATGAGCACAATTCTAGCAGAATACTTGGAGTTACATGTTCTGCTTGTGCGCTGGTGGGAAGTGCGGTTAAGTAGTCATTATTTTCTATAGAAAAAAAGAGGAAGTAAAGAGAAAGTGTCTACAATACAAGCACCCTGTTTGCCACAGTACACTTGCTGACTCTATTTTCGCACGAATAGTAAGTAATAAAAGCTTATTATTCATTTTTTCTTTAGTATTAGGTCTAGTTGTTTCGTGTGAATAAAAGTCACGTTATTCAAACTAGACTGCCTTGAACACGAAGACAGCATTGTGAAAGACGCGTGAGTATGGTAGTCGACACTTTTGCAAAGCACGCGTACTGTTTATTTCTTCGTTTACATGTCTGCTGCTTCCGCTAAGCTGAGTGACTCGTGTGTGTACGAGCATGTGAAATTATAGGTTTAGAGGCGAACCACGTTATTGTCCTGGCTTGCCAACGTGTAATGTTGTCGTTACAAACCATCATACGCGGTTGAGTGGCACAAAAATTTGGAGAATCCGACAACTCTCCACTGGTCCATAATATGCATCGTCATCATTATAATCATCATAATGATCATCATCATCAGCAGCAGCAGCAGCAGCAGCCTGACTATGCCAACTGCAGGACAAAGGTCACTCCCATGTTACGCAAGTCAACTAGGTTCTCCACTTGCTGCTGCCACTTTATATACCCGAAAACTTTCTAGTCTCTCGTAGTATGCATACAACGCATACAACGCGTTAAAGGTTCATTGTTACAGACTAAAACATTATGTTTGGCTCAGCAGTGGTGTCAGAATCTTGTACGTCATTCACCTAGGCGCTCAAGTTTGTTATTTCAAACCAGAAACACAAGCGTGGATTTCTACGATATAGTCAGCAATTCAAAACGCGAAGCTCGAAATATATCTGCCATTTTATAAAATACATCCAGTGCACTGGTGTGCGCGTTACCTTTGAGGCCCATGGGACGGCTTTAAGCTCTCCCATAGTAGAGTACCCTGTACTCTAAATTGTTACCCACCTTTTCTAACCCCTATACCGTATTTCCTTGGGTACCGCTTTAAGCTCTCTCATAGTAGAGTACCAAGAACTCTGAATTGTTGAACATTTTTTAAACACGCTCTTTTTTCAATGCGAAGCATATTTAGCGAACTTCGGCGACTTTGACCGTATCTATCTATCTACCTATCTATCTATCTATCTATATATCTATCTATCTATCTATCTATCTATCTATCTATCTATCTATCTATCTATCTATCTATCTATCTATCTATCTATCTATCTATCTATCTATCTATCTATCTATCTATCTATCTATCTATCTATCTATCTATCTAGCCGCCTACGACTTTTAGCTCTCCTGGCCGTTTCAATTATGGTATCAGTACCATGGTATGGCTTAACATCACTGTATGAAGAACATATTTAAGTAATCATAACAAGAAAATAATGTCATGTTTGTCATGAATGTCATTATTTACATGTCATGGTGCTGCGGCTCTTGCGGAGGTTTCGTTGACAGGGCATGTAGCAAAACTGGTATGGTATGGCGTGATTGAATGGCGAAAACAAGCGACAGACCCTATCATAAAAATCATGATATGCGTGTCATGTAACGACATGACTATATGCGACGCTCATAATGTGTTTGTGGCCATTTCGCTAGCGTCAGATGTACCAAGTTTGGTATTACAGTTCGTGAATGGATGACGAAAGTATGATACTGGTGCAAACATGATTAACATGAGATGCGTGTTATGTAACATCATGACTAAATGCCACGCTCATGATGTGCTGGTGGCCGTTTCGCTAGCTTGACTTATGCCAAATTTGGTATTACGGGACGTGAATGGATGACGAAGATGTGATACCGGTGCGAACATGATAAACATGAGATGCGTGTTATGTAACAACATGACTACATAGTACACTCATGATGCTCTCCCGGTCATTTTGCTAGCCTCACATGTAACAAACTCGGTATTACGCGACGCGAACGGACGACATAGGTAAATGACACATCAAAACACGGTAATCATGACATGCGTGTCATGTAACAACATGACAACATGCCACACTAATGATGCGTCGCGGTCGTTTCGATACCTCCACATATGACAAATTTGGTATTACGTGACGCCAGTGGATGACGAAGGTATGTGACTGGTTCAAACATGATAATCATGCGATGCGTGTCATGTGAGAACATGACTACATGCCACAGTGAAGGTGCCAATACATTTCAACGTGACGCGGTGCGCGTGTTTGCCGGCGGTCATTTCGTCGCGTCACGCCGGTGGTTCCACGCCGGGCGCCGGTCCTGCCTTATACTAGCAGGCGCGCGCCACACTGCATTGCTTTGACGCATGCGCGTTTCAGCGCGTCCGGCGTCCCTTTGTCCCGAAAAAATAAAGACGTAGTGTTGTCTGGGTAACGCATCGGCGGAAAATGGAGCGTGTCACATTTCACGCCAGTTGCCGTCGGGACGCGACGATGGACGCTGGTCGCGCCTGGCGTCAGACTATAGAGTGCTCACATTTCGGTAACGTTGCGTCACTGTGCCCAGCGTGTGCGTGCGTCAACGCTACATTGGAGTGTTCATGTTGCGCTCACGGCCGTTTTGCTAGCTTTAAATATACCAAATTTGCTGTTACGTGACGTTGTTGGAATATGAAATATATGACTGGTGCAAACATGTATAATAATCGGGACACGCGTGTCATGTAAGAACAAGACAACATACCACGCTTATAGCGTGCTCGCGGCCGTTGCGCTAGCTCCAAATATATTAAATTTGGTATCACGTGACGTGAATTGATGACAAAACTAAAGGACACATCTAAACATGATAATTATGATTGATATGTGGGGTTTAACGTCCCAAAACCACTATATGATTATGAGAGACGCCGTAGTGGAGAGCTCCGGAAATTTAGACCACCTGGGGTTCTTTAACGTGCACCCAAATCTGAGCACACGGGCCTACACCATTTCTGCCTCCATCGGAAATGCAGCCGCCACAGCCGGGATCCGAACCCGCGCCCTGCGGGAACATGATAATTATGGCACGGATGTCAGTACGGCATCATTTACCTCCACTTCGTAACGTCGTGCTGATTTTAAAGTGACATATCAACATTTCTCATTCGTGCTTCGCATATCGTCGATTCCCACTGTACGTGGGAGCCGCCATTTTTCCTTCGGCGATTCGTGATCTGTGCGAGTATTGCAGTGCTGTGTGTTGCATCGTGTCTGCGTTCTCTTGTTTGTAAGTACCATGGCAGAGATTTTGTTACACCAGACAGTCGAGACAGTTGTACTCGCCTGAAGTGCTGTTTCTAGTTTGCAATTGGCTTCCCTGTCTCAAATAGGAAGAAGGCGACTGTTAGCCGAACTAATTGCCGACAACGCTAGTAGGGCGAAAGCAGCCCCTCCCACATGTTGTAGAAAACTGAAACCGGGCATCTAAGGAAGACGAAGATGCATCCCGACGCAGTTTTCCGACATTAGTGCCGTTGAAACACTTTCCCTCCCTGCACGCGCGCCTTAACGCTTGGCACAACTAGTGCCTCCTTAAAGAAATCTCTCCTTAAATAAGGTGGTACATTATCTCGGTAAGGCCCATTTTCTTTCTTACTGTCTCATTGCCTACTGGTAGTGCTTTTGCTATAGAAAAACACGAGCACACACTACATGCTTCATCCCTCCCCAGGTCTCACGATAGCGGAAAGGAAACACCCTTCGTATGTGCTTGGCCCGTCCTCTAATTTTTTTTAACTTGCCGATTTAAATAAGCTATTAGTCCGAGTTCCATGGTTGGTGCTCCATTCGCTTGATGATTGATATGTGGGGTTTAACGTCCCAAAACCACTATATGATTATGAGAGACGCCGTAGTGGAGGGCTCCGGAAATTTAGACCACCTGGGGTTCTTTAACGTGCACCCAAATCTGAGCACACGGGCCTACAACATTTCCGCCTCCATCGGAAATGCAGCCGCCGCAGCCGGGATTCGAACCCGCGCCCTGCGGGTCAGCAGCCGAGTACCTTAGCTACTAGACCACCGCGGCGGGGCCTCCATTCGCTTGTGGTTGCCTTTTGATGCACCGGACAATATCTACAAACAAATGTTTCTTTACACCATACCCACCAAACCAATAATAAAATGAAAATTGGTTGAATTAAGTATGCACTTTCCCCTAGTAAAACCTTTTAGTGGTTCTCCATGTTATTGTTCATAATTAACTCGCAGCTTTAAAACGTCAGTGGACAATTTCATGGTCAAAAGTTCATGAGGCAGAAACAACTGCGCTTTTTTTTTTACAATGTGAACATGCGGCAGCGAGAACTTTCCGATTAAATGCTGCAATAAGGAATTTACAGAGTACAGCAACAACTCGCTAGGACTGGTTTCTATTTGTCTCGCGGCCTTTCAATCCAGCTC